CGCCTGGGTCTAAATTACGAATCTCTGCAAGCGCATCTTGCAGGCCTGGCATGGTTGTTGAGTTGTTACGCGTTGAAATACTGTGTAGATGTTGCGTGCCGGGCGTTCAGTGACTCCGGGCGTTGGGTGCACGGACACTGTATGGTTATCAAGCTTCGCTAAACCTCGGCTTTGCTTGTTTGATCGTCTTAGACGTGGGATGATCCGCGCCCTGGCTTAGTGGCTTCGCTTATCCGCGTGCATGATTAGCTGCGTGGTCGGATGAGTCCCGAAGTATGCATCTTGCGAAGAGTTAGAATGACGCGCGACTGTCTTGCAAGCTTTCGTCCATCCTCCATCCATCGGACAGCACGAGACCGCGCTAGACCCAGTGAATTTCACAAGCAGATAACATTGTTAAATAAGTGCTCATGGCTAATACATTATGCATTATTGGCAGAGATACGACGCAGTGAGGCATCAGCCCTATCATCATTACACGCTAGAAGATCTCGCATTCATCCATAAATCTAATTCCGGAACGAAACCCTTCGCTTCGTTACCTACGAGCCTGCCTGCCGCCCGCGCCCAACTGATCACGGAGATCAGGGTTGATCTTGGCCGTTAGATACGACGAAAATTGGCCGCTCTGTCGGAACGTTTTCGTCCAAACTGGAGCTGGCGCTTTCACCGACACCTTATGCGCTTCTTGTCGACCCGCACCAGTGCCTGAAGTCTTCAGAATACTGCGGGGTTGGTATGCCTGTTGATCCCGCTTCTCATCGTCACGCCGTACAGACGTGTCCGGTTTTTCTTTCACGCTGCGCCATTCCATGCCTAGAGCAGCTGGTATCGCAAGGCAGGCTATGATGAGTGCCGCAAAGAATGTTCCATGCGTCAGCGAGTTATTGTAGGCTTCGAGTATCATGCGTTTGATTGGTGGAGTAAAGCCCGTCGTTAGGTCCGTGGCTCCCGAGGCTAGGATATGTTGAGGATTCAGACCCCCGATTTGCTCCAACCCAGCAGAGAACTTGTCTATGTAAAGGTTCTGACCCACGGCTGTAAAGACTGCTCCACCGAGTGTCTGAAAAAGCGAGAGGACTGCCGTACCGATTGGAACGTCGGGCTTTGGTAACACAGTTTGTACGGCTATGTTCGGATGCTGCATGGTGCAACCAACCCCAAAGCCCACAACGATTTGAGTTCCGATCCAAACACTGCTCTTGGTCTCCATAGACCACGTGGTGATGATGCCGGCGCCAATAGCCATCAAGAGAGAGCCGAAGATCATGAAAGGGGTGTAGTATCCAATGCGCTGTACTAGACCGCCAGACATGATCGAGCCGACGACTACCGAGAGCACAAGAGGAATCGTGTTGATGCCGGACTGCATCGCTGAGGCACCTTTGATGGCCTGGAACCAGAGAGGGATGTAAATGGACACCGTAAGCATGGTCGCACCCACGCAGAACTGTGAGGCGCTACCAAATGCGACGCTACGTTGGAAGATGATGCGTGCTGGTAACGTCGCTGTGGTGTGTCGGGTGAAGTATTGCCACAGTATGAAGGCTATTAGAAGGAGTATGAAGACGATCAGAAGCACGACTATGCGCGGTGAGCTCCAAGGGTAGTCTGCTGCACCCCATTCCAGCGCTAGTAAGAGACAGGTGATTGATGGAAGGAACAATACGGTACCCAGCGGGTCCAGATGCCTTATTGTTTCTCCCCATGTTTCGAATTGCGGCTTCTTTTCTTCCAGGTTCAACAGGAAACACACTACGAGGATCGTAAGACCACCGAGTGGCAAATTGATGTAAAAGCACCACCTAAGATATTTCAAGTCAGTATATATCTCACATGCGATTCGTACAAGGATATGACTGACCTCCAAGTCGCGCTGCTGCTGGTGAAAGCTCCGCCTAGCAAGGGACCAGCCACACTCGCGACGCCAAAGCATGCGCCAAAGAGACCCTGAAGCATAGGCCGCTTGGCAAGCGGTACTGTGTTTAGCATGATCAAGATTGCGCCGGTGAAAATACCACTACTTCCTAAGCCCGCAATGGCGCGTCCGACGATGAGCATGTTGCTGTTGCGCGCTGCGCCGCAGATGATGCTCCCTAGCTCGAAAAGGAAGATGCCTGATAGGAATACTGGCTTGGTGGGGAAGAAGGTGTATATCCGTCCATATAACAGGATAAACCCAGCTGCTGTGAGCATGTATGCGCTACCGTACCATCCAATGTCGCCGATGCTGTCGAATTCATTCGTTATGGCGGGTATCGCTGGACCGATGATGGTTCTATCGAGAGCAACTAGGAAGATGGAGATGTATAATGAGAGCATTATGACTGCTGTCTTTGCTGTAGATGGGTATGGGGATGGCGCCGTCGTCGCCCCTCTTTGTCGTTCGATATCAGCTACTATCGGCGCCTCAAACGGCTCATCGTCCGCGGATTGTGCATCCCAAAGATGACTCTTTCGGAAGTTTCTGTGCGTGTCTTTGCTCATTGGGGGACTGAAGGGTGAATCCATAACGTCGTCGTCGAATTTGAAACTCGTAGGAGTGGAATAATTTGAAGCCTGGTATGGATCCATTATCACTGGCACATGATCACCATCTTCGGATGTTGAAACTCTTCTTATCGTGTTTCGGTGCCCGATTCCGTTCGCTTCGTTCGCTTCATTCAGCCGCAGTATTCCCTCTAACGCCATTAGAGTACTTTCCCGAAGATAGGGTCGGATTTCGTGTAGATCTTCTCGCAGATTATGGGTAGTGTAGGAGGTAGCGACTTCCCGTCTCTGCTGGTATGGTTTCGACTGTGCCAGGTCTTCTTCTCGTGTGTTGTAAGAGATATATGAGGCGGTGCCTTCTTGTGCCTCGGTGTGTGCTCGAGCAAAGGCGTCGTCGCAGTTGTCTTTCAAGTCTTGGATGATATCATTGATCAAGCTGCGTTCTTCGGAATTGGTGCGCGCGTGCCATCTCACTTCGGTGAGCTCATGAGTGGATGGACGAGACGATAACGTTGATATGATGGAAAATGCTGGTCGCGCCCCTCGGAACTTCGGTATGAACGGAGGAGGTGCCGCCATTTTCCCAATATCGACAGTAAGCCGTGGATATCAATCCGGGTATATGGGGTGTGTGCGCCGAAACCTGATATATTGCTTGCAGCCGAACGTACGAGAGGTCCAAGGTAGTGAGCGTGTGACAATATGCAGAGATATACGGATATGAACTATAGGGGTGAAGAGTAATATAGGTATGGGTATGCTTCGCCTTTTCGCATTAACAGTCTAAATAAGAAGCACATCTCAGTAAAACATCTAACAGACCAAGAAACATTCCGCAGTCGCATCCGCAGCACGACCAACGAGGCGCAACGGTGCAGTAAGACGGCGATTACTTTTGGCGAATGCGATATCCTTCTCACACACCATCCACATCCAGCAAAAGCATCGGAGCGCCATCTTCTAAAACACCGACGTTCCACGACTTAGCTCTACGCCACATACTTTCCTTGCTCATCCGATGGCGTCTATTAATAAGAGTCTGGTGGACCTTGAACTGTCAGAGGTGGGTAGCTTCACTACTCTGCATGCTTGCACTGCAGCAGCTCTCGTGTTCTCTGCAAGATTATGCAAAGTCAGCGACAAGTGATCGGTGATTACGCTGGGGAGCCGAGCGGCGCTGGGAGATCACTGAATTCTGCCGAGACAACTTGAGCAACATGTGAGACGGCTGAACGGAACTATTTGCAAGCCGAATGTGATGTCAGAAATTGAACATGAAGTGGAGTGACGTCTCAGTTATTCAGAAAAGTTGGTGGTTGACGTTGGCGATGAGAAAGTGAAAGAAAAGCAAATTGATACTGCTTAGCGTGAGAGGAGGTGCAACTGACGTGATAGAGTATACGCATCACTCAAATCGCATGTCTTTGCCATGCCGCTTGCTTGTTCCGACCAGAACAAAGTCATCATGCAGCTTTTGCAGGAGGTCTCAATTGTAAGTACAAAGTGACCGCAATTCGGCATTCAAACAACGTCGTCTTCATGGAAGTCTCGTAGCCTTACCTGTACATCGACGCGATTTCCCCGTGCAGCGCATCGTCATCTCCTCGTCATTTCGGTCCAATCCCGCGCAGAATACGTATATCTCTAGTTGATCATTCGTAATAATGAAGCTTCGACTTTCAAGGCGGCGAATTTCTAGATGCGAAACCTCAATGCGGAGGATCACCATGATCTCCTTGAGGGGGCCCACTTGAGGCAAACAAGCCCTACCCGCAGTGGCGATCATGCATACTCACTATGACATGCAGGTACGGTTTCAAAGACTTCTAACTCTGCAGGCTTTTTGCTAGTTTGCGGGGTGCATTGATGTTCAACAGGGAGAGAGCGGAGACTACCACAAAAGCAAACGGCGCCCCTGAACCAAGGATTGCAGGGAGGATCTGCAAAAGCAAAAGTCGGAACGGCGAGCCTATGTTGTAACATGACACAAGGTAAAGGGTGTTACAGCGGGATCACAATTAGGGTCAAAAGGAGACTATAGCTCACCTGTTGTTCTTTGGGCTGATGCGAGTGTCAGTACCAACTGGCCGCGGACAACAACATGGAACATGTAACGAAGACAGTGTATCAGATGCCGGATACAAGGAGTAATCGAGGTCGTTGGTTCTACTAGCTTTCTAGGTGAAGACTTGTTCATTAACGTGCACGCGGCTTGGGGGGAGGTGAAAGCGAGTACTAGAAGCTGCAGGCTTGGAGCAAGACTGCTTCGGCCTGCTTGTAGTCCAAATATCACAAGATTAACATTATAGGCCGAGCATCAAAGTCGAAGGCAAGTTCCAATAAAGCCTTTGTATCAACTACGAATAGTCTTTAATGAACGACGCTAGCTAGATTGAATAATGCTGAGTATGATTCCAATATTCTCTCATCGCCATCCTGTCTCACCACAAGAGAACGCGCGGAATTGAAGTATCGCTGCCCAGTGTCATAAGGGCAGACAGGCTTACTACTCAAACAGGGTGGTTTTCATCCCACTCCATGACTACATCGTCATATTTTCCCGACTCATTTTCGAAGCACACGATGAGCCTTTTGTTGCACATGGCAACTGTTCCGAAAACCGTAAATTCCACCTCGGTCATATCAGCATCCGTGAAAACTCTCATCTGATCTTCAGAGTTTACTCGGAGACACTTGTCAATGCCGCGTTGGAGCATGTTAATTCTCAAGACGGGCCTCTCCAAGGGGTCGTAAACAGGCCAACCCGCGCTCGAAACCTCGTGGTCATTCAGAGCTTCCTGGGCGCATGTAACAAGAGCGTGGTTGCACTGGGAGAACCTGACGTCCTTGAGAGGGGTATTGCCGATGGACGACTGGTTCGAGATCAGGGTATGATCGGAGCCGTACTTTTGGTCGCATATCATCAGATCTTCATGGAGCTTGTACTCCCTGTACTTCTGGTGTGGAGGGAATGGATCTATAGCGGTGATAATGAAGGTGTTCGCATCCAAGTCATCCATGGCTTTATGTTCATCGTCGATGGAGTTTTGCCGAACAACCTTGACTGAATCAGTGACTATCATTTCAAGAGTAAAAAGGATCACTCACGATAGGAACGGAAGGGGCGGTAGAAGCATGCACCTCGTGTATAACGATAGCGGGTTGCTGAAGCATATGTGTTAGTCTGGAACTACAAGATGGTTAACAAATAAGTCATACCTCTAGTGGTGTGGTATGGATGCGGGGAATCATGACCGCATTAGCGATAAGGCCGCCATAGAGCAATACGAGAAGACGTAGAGAAACCATCGTAAGGTGTGGGCAAGAGATATTGTCGGGGCTATGAGTGTGAGGGTTGTAGTCGGCGAACGTGGTTGGAAAAGTGGAGTGAGTGAAAGCTCGGGTTAGGAATGTGGGTTGATAATCACTCATCGTCCAACTGGACTTCCTCTATATAGGATCTGGTGTCCACCGGCCCCATGTTACGGATTTTGAGACCCTTGGAGTATAAGTCTGGATCAAATGAACATGTATTACTCATAGATGTAATGGCTTCGCCTCCCCGAACGGCCTTCCGCACTACTGAGGAATCCCTTGAGCGGCTCCCAATATAGTGGGCCAGCACAGGCTTGGATGTTCCTTGGTTCCCAATCAAAGCTACCTGGCCCTTTCGAGTGAAGTGGTAATCACGCACGAATTAGAATGCCTATTTGTTGTCTAAAGCCGATCAGGGTCTTTTTCGCTCCAGTTGAACTGCACTATACCGATGTAATCCACTTGAATGACGGGCTGGCCTTTACAAGGATCAGGGTTTGTACCTACACCGAGGCAAGGAAATGCTTGAGACTGATAATTACAGCAAATATGACAGCTAAATTGATGCTAGACTCAATACTGATGAACGTGTAGGTTGTCGACGGAATCCGGCTCACATCTTTGAAATGGGTTGGTGAAGCCTATGTACTCATGCTGCCAAGTTTTCGATGGATAGAACTATAATTTCATGTTGAAAAACTTGTTAATTTGACCATTTAGCTGGTGAAGATTGCGCATCTCGAGGTTATCCTATAATGAACTTGTAACAAGTTGAACGTGTAACAATATGTGGACCATGTGGGTCCGGATATCTCAGGGGCAGGTTTATCCTGTTACTTCCGCGTCATGAACAACACAGATTTTAGGACGTGTCCAAATGATTGGCTGATAAGCCATCCAAGCAATGAACTTTCAACAATGCTTGGAAGTACTTTCCGAAAGTGGAGCATTAGAATGCAACAGCGCTTGTTAGCATTCCTAACTTGCACGACGTACTCGTCATTTCACAGCGAGCTATCTCATACTTCGTCAGCTATGTATCCACCCCATATGCTTTTGAAATCACAGTGATGGCTAGACCGACAAAGAGCTTGTTCTCCAAGTGCCTGGTGATGCGTTCAGCATTGTTGTCATAATCAGCCACAGCGAATGAAACCCTCAAGAATAGAACCGCCAGATAGGGAGTCAGTGATGATAGTTAGTTGGCTGTTTAAGTTCGTCATGCTTCGTGATGCGTGGCTACAGATTGCCTTTGATTGAACTGGTCGTTTCCTGCGGTGTCAATGGTTGTCGTCAATAGCATCCGCTTTGAATCCCGTCGTCCTCCTACCGAGGCAAGAAGATAGAAACATAGAGTTTGCTTCGTCGGCACATGCTTGATACTTATCTAACCATAAATAGTGTTCACGCCAGCTCTGTTGCGCAGATAATAACTCGCCATTATGCGACTCTTCACATGGATACAAACAGCCTTCCACGTCTCCGATGTTATTAACGCATCCACAAGCATCGCCTGGTCAAAGTTAACTTCACGGAGACCCGAGTCACTAGAGATAGAACTCACTAATGAGGACTGTGTTCACAATCCTTATTGCCAATTGAGCAAGAATCTTGGTACACACGAATGGGTCAACGATTGCCCAGGCCTTCCCAGAATCACTGAAGCCCTATGGAGGAAATACAGATACAAAGACACCAAGTTTTTGAACAAGAACCTCCAGAACTATCTAAAGCTGAAGGAGAGCAAGTGGAAGCTGGCCTCCGATGAGTTGACCTTTCCTACATACCTGGCGAAACGATACGCCCCCAATGTATCACCCAGTAGCATGGTCTGTGATGGGCTCGGCATGTGCAGAGTGGGTATCCCACGTTCGGCTTCGGGTTTTACTGGCGCTAACGGTACCATCAGGCCCCGAGCTGCAAAGACATCGGTAAGAATAATACCGCCGATGAACAAAGGGCAGCCATGTTGTTCTTTGAATTCGTTTCCGGTCTCGACCATTCATTTCACATTAGGAGTGAGGCCACTCAGGACCATTACAGGCATATATTGGAAGACATAGACGGACTTACGGCGATGTTCACGTATGCCGATGAGCAACAGGATGCAGCGGTTAAGAAGGAAGAGAAAAAGCAGAAACGCATAGCGCAGATGGAACTGGCTTTTGGCATCATCACAGCCGTCTTCCAACTGTTTACCACGGCTGCTAATATTATGAACTATAGACCGGCTTCCCTTACGTCATACATTAACAGATTCTCCAAATCACAAAAACTCGCTGGAAGGTGGCAGCGAAGTCTGAGCAGGCTGTCTAATAAGTTTCCAAAGTCTTCGAGGCTTAAGAAATTTTCGAGTCGGAGAAAACCCGGTGACGGCTTATTCAGGGAAAAGTCCATCGAAAATGCACAGAGTACGTTTTAAACGTGATTATGAAACAAATGCCTAATATAGAGTAGAGCTTTGGACCATCACAAGCGGAGGTTGGCTAGGTACGCAAGCTTTGACTAAAGAAGTAGTCAAAGAGATCAATCACAAGAAGGATCTGTAAGTTAGAGTCGGTTTGCATACTCAAACACAAGCACTGACTCAATACAGGCATGGCTTCGAGAAAACTTTGGACGCCGTACGTGCGGCTTTGGTCGATCTTGACAGCTATGCAGTCGACGAAATTCTGGAAGGAATGCCAATCCTTGTCTTGGGCGGCGAGACACATAATGGGCATAACATTGTCGACCTTTACGAGAAAGACTTCTTCTTCGGCGCCAACGTCTATTTTCGATCCTATGTCCAATTCGTAATTGGGATGAAGTCTTACGCGACCATCATAAGCGCTCTATGGTATGTGCAACAGCGCCGGTTATACCCTGTGAATGAGTACTTATTTTTGATAGGAGAACAGAAGGCGTATACATCGTTGAGAGTCTTGCTCCTTCCGGCAGGAATTGTGACCAAGACGATCGCGGACCATCGCTCAACAAAGTCTGCCTTCCAGAACGCCCCAATAGGTCATACTGGGTCTACGCAATGTCGAACTACGACGATAAGAAGACACGAAGTCCTCCAGGATGGGAGCATCTCACGAGCGAAGAAGGATTTCACGGCCTCTACGATAGTGACGTAGTCCGAGCTGCTTTTTGGCGAGTCGAGGTGTAGGGCCCTAATAGTGAGAAGGAAGACGAAGGATGCCGCAGGCCCTCAGCTCCTGAACCGCCGGTGGTGTATAGCCAAGGGTTGAACGCTACGAACCCATCAAATTTGAACGCCACGAATCCTCATTTTCCGGGTGCGATACCATATCTGGATGACTACGGCAACGCACCCGATGGCTTTGACATCCCTATATGTCACAGTTGGCTAGGCGAGGCCATCTCCAACGTTGACAGCAAACACAACAATAACACTCCTTGCCAATGCGACTCTCCCAACCCAACACACGCAACGTCCTGGAGCCAACCCACCAACTGGACCATGGCATACACCAAGAAGTTCATCAAGGATAGCGGACTGTATAACTTTGATGATTTTGGGAAGAAGTGTAAATCTTGCAACAAGATGGGTGTGAGTTGGAAGGCGTTACTGAAACTCGAAGATGAGGAGAAGCCAGCGAAGCACATGAAACATGCCTGGAATGGCGGCTGCAAGAGCAATTCACACAAATCTCACCCACTCGGACCACCACAGCTTAGCGATCCAGCACCGAAAAGTTCATCGACGGCATCACCAGCTTCAAGTACACCCGACTCTTGCTCCCCAACACCCACTCGAGAGCCCATCGTCCAAGCTACAACCGAGCTCGTCGGCCACGAAACACGCTACCCTAAAAACACACCCAAGAACATCACACGACAAGGCGCCTGCAACGGGCCATACTGCATCGTTGACACCGTCTACGTCATCATCGAGCAAAAATATGGATACAATGTCGATTCCTCCGTCCGAGCTGGCGAACATGCCTGTTACGCTGGCGATAACTGGTGCATTGAGCAGTCAGCGCACGATATCTGCGAATACCCTGATGAACCGGAGGAGGACGCTGATGAAGAAGAAGAGGAAGAAGAAGAGGTTGGCGAAGATGAGGACGAGTACGCGGACTTCATTCAAGACTCCAAGACCCCAGACAACAAGTCTCGAGTCGACAAAACCCCAGGTGGCAAGCCGCAAAAGGAACAGGAACCCACGCCCGAGAAAGACGAAGCCACGAGAAAGTTCGAAGAGTCGCTAAAGTTGGCAAACTGGCGATGGGTATGTATCTGCGGCGGAAATGGTACAGTGGGCCAACACGGTATCAAGTGCTTCGACAAGAGCGTTACCACCAAGACTACCACCGTAAAGGGCAGGATGAAACAAACACACACTCCTGGCAGGTCTGCAGCCGGTACCCTGACGAACGCTTCCGAAGGTGGAGTTGCAGTTGCACCCACCGATACAGAAGAAGTTGTCACCGTTACAACGCAAGCAGCCCTTCGCATCAAGACCGTGTACGAAACCATGAAACGAGACGCAACTCTCCAAGCGGCATTAGGATTACCAAGTCTTGCTATCTCGACCGAAGCTCCAGTGTTTCTTCCTAGCAGCTATGCTTCGTTCGCTTCTTACTCGATAGTGGCGACGAACTAAGGTGTTATTCATTTGTAGCGACGGTGGAGGTCAAGGTGGATAGTTGGAGAATCGTCCTTTGGGAATGGATACGGTGTTTTCCCCTTTCTGTGTGCTCTCTAGTTCTCTGTTATTGGGAGAGCCAGAGTATACTTCTCTTGGCGCGGTTAGTGGTGACAGGTGGAAAGGGGCGACGAAAGACGATGGGTGTATAGCGACGTACTCTTGAAGTTAATATCCTAACGCCATCAACTGAGGTTGTCATGTACCCGCTTTGATAATACGACAACCATGTTCGCCGTATCAATCTGAGAATACGCACAGCGCAGCAAGGTAGAATGAAATGATGGTGTATATCGGACTTGACATTATGCTTTGCAGTAAAAGGAATATGAAACGTCCCAGCACTTGGCGACGTCTGATCCAAGCAATCTCAACAAGATACGAAAATTGGACCTTTGACCAGCAAAAGGACTACATGTAAAAAGCAGTATGAAGGAACTAAGTAAGTAAGGGTATCATCGCTGTAGTGTGTGCGCGAAGTAACGAGAGGAGAAACAACATTACCGAGAGAAGTGTAGAAATCATTGCCAAATACCAGGAATGCCGAGAAGAACAGTTCGTCGTGTTCGAGTCCTCTGACCTGTAGCAAGAGATAGCGAGGAAGCTCAGTCGTCTGTAGCGTTCATTTTACCCATTTCAAGCCCGACTTCGTCCGTCTTCATCCTTTCACCATCCGGCCCTCTTCGTCCACCTCCTACAAAGCCCCAAAGACTCACCGCTGCGACGGCCCAAGCAGTTATCATGAAAGGTATCATAATTGCACGACCAGCAATCTCAACTCCGCATTGCTTGCCATAATCGTCTCGCACCATAACGGCACCTCTGACATCTTGGAGCTCGCACGCCCAGGTCTCAAGATCGAAGGTGCCAAAGTTATAGCGAAAGAAATTCTCCTGGGTCGAAGCTGTATTGTTCATACGAGATGCGCGGAAGTTGACGAAGCCTTCACGAAAGTGCGAGGTGTTCTTGTGGGTAACGTAGATGGAGACTAGAGCGAAGAGGACGAGGATGGCGTTGGTGATGTGAAAGAACATGATGTTGCGACGGAAGGCGTATGATTGAGTCTTTTGATTCATTAGTACGAACGCTTCTCGGTTGTTCGGTGATTGTATGTACCCGCTTGCCCATGTTCCAATCCGCGCCCACGAACCCAAGATGTGCCGCAGCCAGACATATACTGACTGTAGCAGCAATGATGGCCAATTTTGCTGGTACGGCGTAAAGCATCCTCGGTAGAGCAGCCATGATGATGGCCTCGCCAGGCTCGCCGCTTTTTCTTGTCGTCTGAAAGGTGAACCCCATCATACGGTTGTCCTCGATGAAGCTGTAGGTCAATGCCTTGAGCGTGATCACTGGTATTGCGATGATGAGTAAGAGTGAGAGGAAGATGCTGTATAGTAGCCTTGCAATACGATGGTGCGGACATGAGCTAGTGTTGAGTGGCTGATTGAAGACTGGTGGGGTGTCTTTCTTAGACTGGAAGAGAGATGTGACTTTGCCGGCTGCCGGTGGGAGAGCGAATTTGACTTTCGTCATGCTGGCTGCGGTATGGTTTCTACCTTTCTCAGAAGGATAGTCGTGAGAGGTGAGAGGTGAGAGGTGGGCAGGCTATGGATAGCGGAAATAGACGTTAACTAACTGATGGCAACGAGACACAGTAGAGTTACATAGCATCTGATCACCGCCGAGACATGCGTCTCAAGATATGCATGCTTGTTTAGTCGCCCGCACCGTACCTACTCCTACGTACGATCTCTACCGAGGGAAATATTGTTCGGTCAATGCTGTCCTACCGGCACGGGGCTGCTTTGTGGTTCCTATCAAGGACTTGCTTGAACGGTCCAGTACATTCCCGGCTTTTTCTAGATGAACCGCAATGCAGTTGACAGGTTTCAAACGGTCTGGTGATCATGTATTGGTGGTTGTACTGGTGGTTAAATTGTTACGCGACAGGAAGTGTGTGAGATACGCAACGTGCACGATCCACCCACTGCGCCGATGATAGTTCTCGCATATCACGATAACGCACTCTGCTAAGCGTTTGAGATATCTCTTGGGTGTTCGCGTAGTTCACAAAGCGGCTGAAGCGGAAGTTGATCACATATCAGTACTGATAGAAATGGTGGGCAGCATAGGACACAGCGCGGTGTGCTGCGTAGATCCTCCGGATAGGTATCTGCATCAAGACGACGCGTATTTTGTTTATTATTATCGGCCAGTATAGTAGTCATCAGGCTGATTGGAGGGCATGCGATGTGGGCGGGAACGGGAGATGTGATGAAGGGTTTCGGTCGAGAGCAGCATTATCTGGTATGTAGGCTTGTATGAACTGGAGAAAGGAGACGATATTCGAAACAATTCCACAATGCGATGTTAGGGAAAGGGGTTTCCCAAGGGTAGATGCAAGTTGTTGACAAGCAGAGTGAGGTAATGAAGGATGGAGGGTGGCGGTGATGTCAGACATGCCCGAGCGCTAATTGTCGAGGAGTCGCGATTCGACGCGTTCACAAGACATCTCCGTCAACAACATCAAATCCCCTTTGCGATACGCCATGGCCTTCACAGCGCTCAACAACAAGCCATCGGCACCTATAGTCCCCGTGCAAACGCCTGCCGCACCTGCACCTGCGCCGGCTGCACCGACTCCCGTACCACATCCACAAGAAATTGATGTCGCTTTCGCTAGCAATCATGAGCTACGGAAGCGCGTGCACGCCGCCATAGGTATATGCCCCCTCTTCCAAGCATAAGACAATGCTAATTGCCTTAAGACCAGAACCCCACGCAAAGCACACTTTTCCGCGACATTTCGACATTTATCCTTAATCAAACTTCGCAACCCGCCGCCGAGCCAGCAACAAAGAAGCGCAAGATCGAAGAGAGCATTGTCCCACAGAATGGCGCATCACCAACAGGAGGCAGCCTCACAAGTACTGCAACGAAAGCGTTCAAGACATTTCCAGCCGTCAGCTTCTCGATACCACAGCGAAAGAAGTTCACCCTTGAACTCGTAGACAAGAAGGATGGCGGCATAAGAGCCATAGGCGCCAATGGCAACGTCGAATTTGCCGTTGCGTGGAAAGACGTCGATCAAGTCTTCTGCTTGCTTATACCCGAGAAGGCGAAGAAGCAGCACCATTTTGTCATCATACCAGTGCATGGCGATGGAGTGGCGCCTGTGCCAGATGAATTGAAGGCCTCACCGCCAGAGCCAATAGTCTGGACGTTTGAGGAGGCGACAGGAAAGAACATAGTCGAAGGCGAAGATCCAGGACCAGGACCAATGGCTGAGGCTATACATCATTGCTTGATACAAGCAGGGACCGGGAAAGAGGTCATCTTCCCAGATGCGGACGAATTCGCGAGCGCAGTGCCAGAAAGTCACAGGAAGGGCGAGAAGGCGTATCATGTCAAGGCGCACAGAGGAAGCAAGGAGGGTGCGTCGTACACGGATTTCGCAATCTAGAACTTCTGCTAACATATTGTAGGCTACCTCTTCTTCACCTCGGTAGGCATCCTCTATGGCTTCAAGAAGCCCCTCGCATTCTTCGACTTCGCCTCTATCAACAGCATATCGTACACAGCCGTCCTGCGTAATACGTTCAACATCGTCTTCACCACACCCACAGGCGATATCGAATTTGGCATGCTCGACCAACAAGACTTCGCGGGCATAAACGAATACGTACAGAAACACGGGCTGCAGGATGCTAGTCTGGCTGCCGACCGACGCGCAAAGAAATTGAACGTAAACAAGGTGGGTGGCAAGAAGGAGAACGGAGCAGCAGTGGGGGAGGCTGGTGGCGAGGAGGAGGAGAGCGAATTGCAGAAGGCGGAGAGAGAATTACAAGACCAGGAAGACGACGAGGAAGAGGATGACGATTTTGACCCTGGAAGTGAGGGCGAGAGTGAAGGCTCAGGCTCGGACAGTGAAGATGAAGACGGAGAAGGTGGAGGCTATGAGGAGGGCGATACAGCGGAAGTAGAGTACGATGAGGCTGATGGTGATGAGATGGAACATTAGGGATTGTCCATCAACAAACATCCATTCCAGGCGCTATACTACGGCGTATACCCTTTTCAGCACTGCATATACTGTATAGTCATCCGAGCGAAATGTTGCGGCCCGCCAAGTCTTATATATGAACTCCCCGTCACACCCAACACTCTCCGGCTGAAGTGCCGCACCCCGCACTGTACCTCAATCTGTCCAAACACATCACTCATCAAGATAAACACCATGACGCTCCCTTCTGCAACATGTCATTCCCTCCTTCTAGCATCCTAGTCCTCTTTCCATTCAACTCACCTACCAGTTCACCACCACCTACTGAAACACTACCAACCACGCGATAGCATTTACCAGTGTACATGCGCAGACAGAACCCGCGACATCTACGTATCTGCGTTCCTGACCTCTCGGACCCTCGCATTGCTGAGGCTCCCGTGAGCATGCGTCTCCCGACCGTATGGCGCGCGCTATGGTGTCTGGTATTCCTTACTGGGCTCGTAGTGGTCAGTGTGCTGTATACGTTGGGTTGGACAAGAGAAGACGGGCTGAAAATATTCCGACCGGGGATTGGCTCCGGGACATGGCTAGACTGGAAGAGTGGTGTAAGTGACGAGGTTGAGTCGGTGGAAGCGCAACTGCCTGAAGGTTTGCATCCCATTGAGTTCCTGATGAGCCAGGCAGGGAAACACTTCGATGCCTTGATCGCGACTGAAACAACAACCCTACACCATGCAGCGGCTCAGTACCGAAAGAAACGCGGTCGTCACCCACCACCTGGTTTCGAAGCTTGGTACGCCTATGCCGTCGAGTCCGGTGCCGTCGTGATAGAATCGTTCTGGGATCAGATATACGAAGACTTGAAGCCCTTTTGGGGTGTCGATCCCGTCGTCCTACGCAAACAAACCCATGCCTTCTCGCCCAAGATCTCGATCCGCAACGGCGAGGTAGAGGGTAGCACGAATAACGCGTACGAAAAGTTGGATATCTGGGTCGATATGCTGCGAACTTTGGCAAAGCATCCTCAGATCAAACTTCCAGATGCGGATATTCCGGTTAATGTGAATGACGAACCTGCTATGTTGGTGCCGTGGGAGATGTTGGATACAGTGGTATCGATAGCTCGACCTATGATGTTGAAGCCAGAGGATATTATATCAGATTATAGAGGCTTAAAAGATATCGAAGAGTTGACGGCAAACTTGACGTTCGATCCAGAATGGCTTGGTCCACGACTCACACATCCCGCTTCACATCTAGGTCCGCGTCCGTTCTGGTCACTCGTACGTCCAGCGTGTCCACCGGGGAGTGCAGCAAGGAAGACACACGTGTTCAATGACATTTGGGATCCGGAAGGCGAAACGAGTGAAGCGCATTCGGCGGCTGCTTTGTTGCCTACTGAGCTGCCTGGAGAAGGTTTGAGAGGGTACAGAAAGAGTTTCGCGAACGCCGTTGATGCGTGTCAGCAGCCGAATTTACAGGGTCTTCATAGCGCATTCGTCTCCCCAAATTCGATGAGTGTGACGCAGAAGCTATTCCCTCTCTTCGGCGATGGCAAGCTCGCTATGAGCAGCGAGATCCTCATTCCAGGGGCTAAAGAGTGGAATCTTAGCATCGCATCCTCAGATTCACCAGATACACCATGGGATAAGAGAGTCAATAAGCTCTTATGGCGTGGCCCTACAACCCAAAGCCGCGATTCAGCGCGCTACTGGCAGCACTTCCAGCGCGAGCGTTTTGTCAGCATGCTGAACGCGACGCATGTTGAGATTGCAGAAGCGTCAATCCATTCAGGCAATGAGAGCACAGTGGGCGTAGGCTATGCGAGTAATTTTCGACTTCTGCCGGCTAACGAGTATCACATTAACAGCCTGACCCAAGGACAGTTGGCAGAGTGGGTAAACGGATGGGCAGATGCTGCATTCACGGATCAACGCTGTGGTAGGGAAAGCGAGAAAGACTGTGCATACCTTAACAAGTACTTTACTGCCGATATTCAAGAAGTGATTCAGGACGAGGACACAAAGTATGCGGCTATAGTGGATGGTGACAGTGGTGACGATGGCAGTGAGCTCATACGGCATCTTCGCCACGGCAGAGTCACGCTCCGAGCCAGCATCCACCGCAAATGGTACGATAGTCGTCTCGTACACTGGCTGCATTTCATCCCCATGGACAACACATTCGTCGACTTGTACGGCATCATGGAGTATTACCTAGGCACGAACGTTAGTGACGAAGCTAAAGAGTTCCCACATGCAGTGGGTGAAGTGCAAAAGCATGAGCACCACTTCAAGACACCAGCCGTTGATTCCGAAGAGAGTTTCAGGGAGCATGAGCATATCAGGCGGGAAGAAGACAATCGCAACGACACCGCGAAGAAGATAGCTGAAGCGAGCAGAGAGTGGGCTAAGAAGGTGTTGAGGCGCGAAGACGTGCTCGTATACGTATACCGATTATTACTCGAGTATGCCAGAATATTAGATGACAGGCGAGAGAGAATGGGATGGGTAGAAGATCTGAAGGGAGAGTGAGACTTGCTCAAGTTTGCAGAGGGGAGGAGCGCCACGGTCTCGAACTCTGGAGTACGACAGTCACGATCTATCAAAACACGCAACACCGTCTTCAAAGGCAATCACGTTGCAACCCTCTATAATCACAACGACCTCCGAGATACTGTACACAGGCCCTTTGAAAAACCTACATTACATCATCTTCGCCCCAATTGCTCATATCACGAGACACATCTATACACGGGAACAACATCTGCGGACTCGTGCCCTCACCCTAGTGCATCCAACTTTAAGCGTGGTGGAAATGAGCATTCTCTTCCTAGCCTGCCTCTTAGCAATCTGCCTACCAATCCTCAGTGTACAGCTGCCCCGCCTCGTCCCCGTTCTCTGTACATCTCGCTCAAACGCCACAGAAAACCGATCCTCGCTACACGAACGGTCACCACCCTTACGACGGCGCCTACGACAGGGAAGGTCAACCTCAGCGCCGCGAAGTCGAGCACAACACGGGGGAAGGGAAGCGACGGACGGTGCGGATAGTGGAGCCTCATCGACGGGAGAGGAAACAGGGTCAGAGGAGATCCATATCCAACCGCCGATCCAGACGGGATTATTGAAGGTGGAGGGGAAAGGTAAGGGTAGGGCGGATGGGAAGGAGGTGGTGAGGAAACCTTGGGATCCACCGTTTCCGAAGAAACCAGAGAGAAGAGTGGAAAATGGTTGGTCCGTTATGCCTCCTACGCCGCCGAAAAAGACAGGGAGAGAGCTGGAAGCAAAGGACATCGCGAGACGACTGTTTCCTCCTGATGGTGACAGCGGATACACGTACGACAAAGAACCCAATGACGGGGTCATTGGGTCGGATCGCGAAGCTACTCCTCGACCTACGCCTAAGTCTACGCCTGCACTTGGAACCCAACATGGCGTTTTCATCGCCAGTGCCAAACTGGCGTCAGCGAAGAAGAAAGACAAGAGCAAATCCGGTGTCATGTCGCCCGTTTGGATATGCGTCGGCATATTGGCAGTCTTGATTTTCATCCTGACGTTTGCAATTCTGATCGCTCATTGTTTGGCATGGTTCCTCGTGTACAAAACCGAGGCTAGACTTGGGGAGGCACGAAGAGGCATCATGCAAGGCGGAGAGATGAGATTGTGCTTGTGCGCAACATAAAGAAACCCGCTGTTGTATTTCAGCAATCGCTATGAACGCTAGAATGAAGACGTATTACTATTTGGAGGCACCCGGCCAATTGTTTACAGGACCAGATCTAACAATTATGATGTTCACCGTTGGCTGCTGGTGCATGACCTGTCTTTTCCAGCAACTCCTGCTCTTGCCGAGGAGACCTTGACAATGAAGACTTCCCGTTCTCAGAATCTCTGCTATCCAACCTCTCGTCTATGCCGTGTGAACTCTGCGGGCCTTCGCTGAACCCAGAGTTGGTCCTGCTTGCCAGGTTCATTGCATCCGCCATGGCAAGCGCCGCAACATTCGGACGCTCAACCTGAGAGGCCGTCTCCGGGTCCTCCGGTGGCTGGAACAGCGCAGCCTCGTGGTCGTCAAAGTCCTGGCCTGGGTTGACGGTCTGGTACTCCACCAACTTGACGATGCGGTACATGCCGAAAGCGAGCAAAGTACCCATCAGCGGTCCGAACCAGTAAATGTAATGATAGCCTGGGAAGTTATGTGTGACGACGCAAGGCCCGAAACTCCTCGCGGGATTCAGACTGCCACCTGTGAAAAACACACCAACCATCTCTGCCACGAAAAGCGCGAGACCGATGCCAATCGGTGCCAAGTATGTAGCCTTGTGCTTCTCAGCCGCGAGCATGAAGATTGTGAAGACAAGGAGTGATGTGAGAAACATCTCGAGGAAGACACCACGAGCGGCAGAGACGCCTGCACCAAGCGTCGTGGAGACATTGAGAGGACCCGGAATGATGGCTTGGATTACACCGGCGGCGGCCATACCAGCGAGCATTTGGGACAGGAAACAGAGGCATGCGCGAACGGCTGGAATAGCTCCGATGAGGTAGAGTCCGAGTGTCACCTATGGTCGTTCTCAGTTATCTTCCACACTTTTTCGTTTCATCAGGCTGACTTACAGCAGGGTTGAACAATCCTCCACTCACTCTGAAGAATACCCACACATTGACCATCAGGCTAAAGCCAAAGATTAGACTGATGTATAGCAGCACACTGGTGTCCGGCGCCTGTGTGATGCTGTTGTTGTTTTGCCCAGAGGTTGTTCGATTGCTGTATGTCGCTGCTGTGTTGGCTACACTCGTTCCTCCAAACGCGAAGAACAGGAACATAAATGTGCCTGCAAACTCTGCTGCAGCGGCAACAAGTTCATTGCGCCACCGGTTGGGCAGGAAACCCGATCTTGTGGGATGACCTGGAGGAGCACCATCTTTTGGTAAGGTTTTTGGCTTGTGAGACGCTGGGGGCGAATCCTTCTTGTGTAGCGGAAGGATGTTCTTGAGCGCCATCGTGACGGCCGAGACTCAAGCCTGGCTACAGTCGTCGAACGTCGGTAGTAATGGTATGGAGCAGAAGCTGTTATGCTTGATCGAAGACACGAATGCCACAAGGCTGAAGACAGTAGGAAGAGACCTAGAGAAGAAAAAAGAGGTCTTGTAGCTTACGGCTGGACTTCAAGCAAAAGCACCAGAAGAACACCTAACGTTCGCTAGCAAAACTGACGTCTTGCACAAGCCTGAGCGCCATAATGGTCGGCGGGGTTCTGACGCGGACTACCTCGAGACCGGTGGTTCATCCGTCATGGCGTTATTGAACCCAATAAGCAGCCGCACGTCTCACATTCGCACGATGCTGGCCTTGAGCCATGATCATCAAGTCCAGCCACACGGTATCAATCCCTGCATGAAACCCTTATCCCCGGCTGTTTGAAGCCCGCGGAGGTGGATAGTGGCACATAATGCAGCGGCGGCTTTGGTGTGAATGGTCAGAAGTTCGTGATGCAGAGGATGTGCCGTACGCGATGCGCTCAGATCGCCAGCTAGGTAAAAGGCTGCCACGCTTGCGGACTAGCCGGGCGCGCTAGAGAATATGATGTCATGAGGAAAGGGTGAATCTCGAATCTCCAGATCATTGCTCGCTGGTGTCCGCGATTGTGGAGACACTCCACGCGTCAATGCTGACTTCGTGTTGAGATTTACGAGATTTACGAGATCTGCGAAGGTTAAGAGGAGCGGTGTTCCCTAGGTGGCTCGGCCTCTGCGACGCTTTATCATCGCGATGCGGAGGAGATGTCACCCACAGTTCACCCGGCGGCAAGACAGATCCATTAAGATCGACTGAGTTCGTGCGCAGATTCTGAGAATAGTGGCTGAAGGTCGCAAACTCCCACTGGCTTCTACTAAAGAAGCTGTTGAGACTTGAACTTGGTTTAGCGGCCTAAAAAACCATCTTGTAACGCTTCCGTAGCACCAACGCTATCGATGGTAGAACTATCGTCAGATTCGAGGAGCTATTCACGAAGAGTTTCGTCGCAAGATTGCCAAAACCAAGAGGTTTGTACTGGCACTCAACCATGATTGCACCGCCATATTACCGAGACTTGAAGTACACTGCAACACTGTTTAGCGGTTTGACCCTCTCAGCCTATCGACGAAAATTAAACTTGCCGTCAATTCGCAGTGGCTTACTCCAAAACGATCAGCATTTTGTCGTCCGCTTCCACGCTTCTCCGTACTTCCCATAGATTTCATTCTTGACTACGAGGCCAAGAACCTACTTCACCTTCCTTGAAGTTGTCGACACTCACGTATGCTTTCGTGTATCTACCACCCATTGTCGTCGCTGTTGTCGAACATTCATTGCTTTGCACCACATTCCCATCTTTGGCGCTCTTATCCTTCTACACAATCTCAACTCTGTTTTCGTTCCCATCTAAGATCTGTTGGCTGTCTTTGCTTGTCTTCTTCGCCTCTTGCGCAATACCAAAGGCCTAGCAAAGTCCGATTCTCTTGTAGGTTTTGTCGGTACGGACATCCAGGCCCGTTTCTCAGGATTGGTCTTTGGTACACTGAGGTAAGATCGACGCATCGCATGGTGGTAGTATGTATGTTCCAATACGTCGATGTGGTGGATCGCGCAGTTAGAAGTAGTGGTTTCAGTAGAGTCGCCAAGGTGTTAACAATGCACGACTATCAATCCTCCGCTCGTTATGAAGGCGTGATGTTGATGTCGGGTCTCACAACGACTCATCACCTCAAAGCACCTGTGTTGTCACGTTTATCACTGAGTGAAGAGTTGGGGTTCATTGATCAGATAAGACAGTAGCACCGCGCAATGCAATCACTTCGAGCTGTCATCTGGCCTGAGCGTTAAGACAAGCACTGGTAACACTAGCAGCCTGTGTACCGATTGACTGCCTGACTTGTCGCATACACTATCGCTGAAGACAAATCGTAGCCTCCCCGATATTTTACAGATTCCTGACGATGAATAAATATCTATACCAGCCTATTGCACTATGAGCCCTGAACCTTGGCCTGTAAACGTCTGCTATATACCTCAGCTCAGGGCAGTGTCACATTCGACGAGACACCTGATATCCCTTCGCCGGTCTCTGGTGAAATCTTGTATGAGCTCATTTCTCACATTACTAACCCAGCTTTTCGTCAGAGTAATGGGTTTCAAAGAAAAACAGCCTGCGACACGAACGTTGGCTATGATCTCTGCTTCATCCGTCTCAACATGATAAAGGACAGACACTCGGAGACAGTGAACAACCTACAGGCCGCTAATGGACGTCGTGTCCAATTACCCGGCTTCCGTCAAGACTGCGGCAAAAGACTAAAACGTCTTGCACTGCTCCTTGTATATATCCTACCCTTTCTCACCCCTTTTATTGTCGATGCAGCTAGTTGTATGATTATGACACATAGTTGAACTTACTCCATGTGATCTTGGCCTAGCTGTCTCCAGCATGTTCACTGGCTACATCTCGGCTCAGCCCGATCGCGGAGAAATGGGTTCTCTTAATGGAGTGATTGAGTGATCCGGACCGCATCGATGCTACTTCTATTGCGGAGATAGCGATTGCGTCGCTTGCTTGTGTGCGATTTGACGTTTTGTTGCGGTGGTTTAGTTGGTTGTTGGCCTGGTTGGTTGATCCTAATTTGGTGGTAGTTATGTGTTTATGCTATAGTGCACTTGGAGGAGCAGATGATGTGTGGTCTAACATAATTAACATAACGTAATAGTAACAGAAGCCAAAGAATTCAATAGAAGGTAACTGTCGGTATAAAAGCATGTTGAATCAGTAGCCCCAGAGATCCATGGGCGTCGCCCAATGAGGTTTGCGGTCTAGTCATGTACTCTAATCCGAATGACTTCATTCCTAGAAGCGGTCGTGGTATTCATACGCTGAGAACTACTCAGAGCGGCAAGTCGTTACTGGTAAATTGATCGTGAAACGGGCGTACAGCAAAATCAGTTGGTGCGCTTCAGCAAGTTGTGCAGGTGATATGTCCAAGTCCCATATTCACTGCTACTGCTGACTTGCTGTTGTACTAGGTACACTACCGAACCTTGACTTCCGATCAACCTTGCATGATGGGATCGGGCCGTAGAAAAGCGTAGAATTTGATCTGGACCGCAGCGATGCCGGTACTGGCGGGGTAGGATCATCGTGCAGACTTTGCAACAGCAAGGTAGCCGTTGGGGACTGCACCTGAGTACCGAAGGGCTTCGGACGGAAGCTCAGCGTGACTATTCGGAGTCGCTCATTGTACTTAATAGATTAGTAGAGCTGTGCTAGGATATAACATACAGATGTTCAGCTCTGATGATGATGATGATGATGATGATATAAAACATAAAACCTGGTGAGAAGGTGGTTTCAGAATGTGAGTTTGACAGACCGAAATGCAGGTTTCTGGAGAATGACTAAACAACGGTGGGACCCTTTTGATGGTCTGATGGTGGAAGGGCTCAGAAGCCAAGATGGCAAGTGGGGCTCTGATCAAAAGCGGGTCAGCTAGGCCAAGAGAGCTCTAGAGGTTTATGACGTATCGCCAAAACACAGCATTCCAATCTCTCGCTCGCTCACGGCGTCTTTGCTAAAACATCCAATCATGATCTACACCACGATGCAAGGCTTAGGAAAGTCTGGGGCCGTTTTTAATAGTGCATGTGTACCCGCTGTGTAGCTCTATACATGCAGCATCTAGATGCGTTCGGACAAATTTCTAGAGCGAACATCGCACGATCGATCCACCAACCTACAACGACGAGACCAGCTAAAGTGGACCGAGAACATGAGAAATAACGATCAACTCTCCGACATGAGCCCACTGTGGTTTCTCCTGCGCGGCTTCGTCAGCACGTTGCTGAATAGAGCCCACATCTGACGACGCTCACGAGGCGGGAATTCTACTTTCCGTTGCTAGACGACCTGCCCAGGCATCCGCACGCTTCCGCACTTCGGCAACACCAGGACAATACTTGAAGTTCAGCCAGTGATGGTGGCAACATCGTCGGAACTCTCATGAAGGAGTCTTCACCAACCTTCCGAGGATGGAATCTCGCCAAAATTTGAGTGCTCGAGTTGATCGTCTCTATGGTCATCATGTCAGAGTGATGCAAGGGCTTTGCATCGTACTGTTAATACACCGTGTAGAACGATCGCCAACGAGACCATTCGCTTGACTGTCCTAACAGCCAACACTGCCATCGCCTGCCCTGGCGGCCTAAGCTAAGCAATGAGGGCGCGAGAAGAATCTGGCTTACTATGCCCATGCCACTACGCTCTCGACACTGGACCGCATCGACTGTGATCATGGTATCCAACCAATATTTTAAACTGCTCGTTGCTCCAACGTTTCCCGTCTTTCTTTCAGACTGGCAGAAGTGTCAGTTAGGAACCATTTAGGCTACCTCCACGTAAGATACACCGCTACAGGGCTGCGTCTGGCTGTCTGCGTACCCCATGAAACCCGATTGTACTGAAGTCTGGGGTAAAAAGCCCGAAATTGCTTGTTTGGTCATCCTGCATATATCATGACGGTAGCGGAAGACTCGGCAACGGTTTGTTACTATGTTGGGAAACTTTGTTCAGCGCTAAGGCCAATGCCAATAGTTTCGATATGCTAAGCGGCAACGACCTTATCGTCGGAATGCACTCCGTAACAAAACCGCATCTTCTTCGAAGAGCTTTACGCCTGCAAGATCGATACCGGAACGGCCACAAACAGTGGCACGCTGCATTATAGTTATAGCAACCTCTCAACCACTCCCAATACGCAACGCATACGGTAATCTCTTGTTGCCAGACATTTTGGGCTCACACCAGATACATCGTGTGGAACATCCGAGCAACGTGTTCCTGTCGATCATACCCCACAAAATCCGGCCTGGCGATCATCGAGAACCACAGTTCCTATATCTTTCTCTCCCTGCCGACCAATGACTGAAATTGCTGTTACTTGAAAACGCGACGTCTTTTCATGTTAACGTGGGCCACAGGCTACGGCTAAACAACCGCAAGCTTCAAGCCATTGCCCACTGAGATGCTAGTCTGCGCGATTGCTCGTATGAGCTTGCGTCTCTTGATATCATCGTTATGAATATGACGATGAATTCGACGCGCGGGGCCCGCTAGGATCCCAACAACACAACATGGTGTCGCACCGCCGGCAGAAACTAGGGAGTTCGAGTAGTACTCGTTGCCGTAGTCTCCAAACATCAGAGAAGTATAAGAGGCATCCAGCTTGAATCCTTTGGAAGGCATCCTCGAAATTCATCTCATTCCACAGTCGCTTAGTCTCCCAATATGAGATACGCATTCGCTCCCCTTGCATTCGGCCTCGGAGCCAACGCTCTCGTCGCCCGTACGAACACACAGTGCTTCAAGCTCCAAGCATCTGGCGGCGCATCAGGTGTACTTGGCCAACTCGACGACGGCCAGAACCGCGTTGGCGGTGGCCATCCTACCGGCTGCTACTGCTTGGACAGCAACGGTGGCTTCACTGATTCCAATGGACGGGGTTGCATCTTGACCCCTCCTACCACGCAGTTCCAGTGCGATGTTGGTGCCACCCCCACCAACGGCTTCGCAGTCAGCTCTGGCGGCGGCGTGACCTACAACGGCTCCGGCAAGTTCTACGCCTGCCCCGTCAATGACAACGGCGAGTACAACGTCTACACAACCCCTGCCCCTGGTCAGACGAAGTGTGTTGAGATCTCTCTTGCGTCTGCTGGTTCATGCGGAGCTGGCGCGTCCCAACCTGCTGGCTCTCAGCCTGCCGGCACACCTCCAGCAGCTACCACTGTCGTTACCAAGACCAAGCCTTCCGAGACCCCCGTTACGACCCCCAACGCCCCAGCTTCCCAGCCGCCATACCCATCCGGCCCTGCTGGCACTGGACCCAACCAGCCAGGTAACACTGGCTACCCAGGCAAGCCTGGTCAATCCGGAAAGCCCGACCACCCCGGTCAACCTGGAAAGCCCTCTCAACCCGCCCCGGAAGCTCCTAAGCCCTCTCAGCCGGCACCCGAGGTTCCCGTAGCTTCTAAGCCTTCTCACCCAGCACCTGAGGCCCCCAAGCCTACACCCGAGGCTCCCCAGCCCTCTCAGCCAGCTGTTCAGCCTCCTATGCCCTCTTCACCCGCGCCTGGAGTTCCTCGGGAGTCCGAGTGCGTTCCCAAGGTCGTTACTGTCACTGTCACCAAGCCTGTAGCCCCTCCAGTTGTGACCAACCCTGCTCCTCCAGCTTCGACGAAGCCCGCCCCTCCAGCGGAGTCCATGCCAGCTCCTCCTGCTGAGTCCATGCCAGCCCCTTCCAAGCCTGCTGCGACCACGCCCGCCCCCTCGAAGCCAGTTGAGACTGTAACATCCATCTCCGGCATCCCAGGTGGCTGCAACCCTGCTCACCCAGGCTCATGCCCTTCTTCCTACTTCGACACCATGCCCGCTCCCTCTCAGCCCGCTATCACCGCCCCTGCCCCCTCTCAGCCAGCCGCGACAGTACCAGCTCCTTCCGTACCAGCTCCCTCCAAGCCCGCTGGCTCCTGTCCTCAGGACCTCAACGGCAACTACCAGTACCCCCATCTGATCGTACCCGTTGACTCCCAGAACCCTGACAAGGCCTACGGCACCTCGTACAACGGCACAATCAACGGCCACACCTGCACCATCTTTAACTTCGATATTCCCGCCTCCTATGCCGGTAAGAAGTGCTCCACCATGTTCATGCTCCCCAGGAAGGAGGACCTCGAGACCTCTGACTACACCATGTCTGGCCACGGAAAGTGCACCGTCAGCAAGCTCAAGGGCAACGCCAATGCACAGACAACATACAGCAACCAACCCGCTAAGGTTGGCGACGTTGCCTCAATTGAGCTCAGCTCCGGTAACACCTACACCGTTGAGTCTGGTGACTGCGAGGCTGGTCAGACCGTGAGCTACGAGATCTGCGGTAGCGGTGATTTCTCCATCAACTACTTCCAGGACTGGAACCCAAGCCCCATCGGCCTGTACGTCCGCCAGTGCTAGATTACTCGCACTGATGGATGAGACCTTGTTTTGATCTCGGATCATTATCAAGTGAGTCTACAAGGTGTCTGAGATATGAACACCAACTACTTCTTCTTTACCGTCGCTTAGACGAGTCCTTCCTTTGCGATAACAGCATAATACGACATGACGACATGGCACTCCTTACGAATGTATTTGTAGATTAGATAAAACTTCAATGTACATCATTTGTTCTGACAAAGCCGATCCAGCTATTGCTAACCGCTTTATCCGCGGCAACTCACCGTTCACGCTCAAGTAGTCTCGACATACACACTACCTCTGTCCTTGTACCCGCTACTCAATCACCCGATGTGCACACCCGGCAATAGTCCACATTTTCGCCCCTTCGATTTCCACCTCGCTGCTTCGGAGCCAGTTCACCGAGCCTACCAACTTCAAGCTCTCCTTCTCTTACAGCCTTCTTCAAGTTTCACACGTTGCGATATGCCTACAGGGGCTGCCAAGACGCTACCGATAGTTCATTTGCTCGAGCGAGGAATAGTCAACGTCCCGCTCGCGTCGCATTCGCTATGCCATATCACGCGTCCGACTTAACTACACCTCTTGCGGACCAATACGAGTGAGTCTACGCAGTCTTGATGTCTTCGTTATTCGACAGGCGCTTTGTTCCGCTCCGAGTGTCATGCACGCCACGATCGTCTCACAACACCATCGTTTTCATGCCTTCTCGTGCTCCATTCGTATAGCGCGCCTCCAGCCAAACGTCGGAACATCGGAATGACAGTACTATGACGGCTGATAGGCAGTATTGTGCCATGTTCGTCCCGAGGCCTCAATGCGCTACGTTCTGAGAAAGCGTCCCTTGCGAAGGGTCGGTCGACCCAAGCCTCAACGTTCGCATGCCAAAGAGCGTTCAGATTGCGCGACCGGCTCTGTCTCCTTGCGCATCATCCTGTTTTCATCATCGATCATTGTCGAGTGTTGATGTACCTGGATCACGCCCTGCAGCATCTACATCCAACTCAGCCTCAGGGTAGAGCCGCTCACAGTCGCGCTAGAAGGCGCGACGAATCTTCTGTACAGTGTCTACAGATGGCAGGCTGCAGCGCGAAATGACACAAGATCCCCACTGTACTTTAAGCGCAATATACACAGCAGTAGCTCCACTGCTTCGACCAATCTGCGAGGAGCTACTTGTGATCGTAATATCATGATCCACATTGCGGGGTCGGTCTTCCAGCAGAGCCGGGGTAGAAGCCGGGTAAACAGCGCAGATATATTGACTTCCCGGAACATCCCCGGTAGATTGAGCCTTGGCTAATCTACTGTTAACAGGACTACATACCATTCTAGGGGCGAACGACCGTTCCTTACATTCGCCAAAGAGAATGCACGGCGTGCCATCGATGAAGCACTACAGCTACGCCACCACGGCGCGTTGTATGCGAGATGTCAATGCTTCTGACCAAGAAACTGGACCGTCTCGAGTGCAATCAGAACCTAGAGCGGGCCGACGGTACCGTTGATCAAGTTTCAAGACAGCCACGTGAACATGAGGGCAAGCCTACACCAAGCCTGCTCCAAGCCTGCTCAATGGAAAACACATAATCGGATGTATCTCTCCTCGGCACTCATCTTCATAACTCTATATAAGACCAGGCAAGTCCCACGTACTGCTGCTCACCACCTCAAGTCACTCTTAAGCCTCTCATTTAATCATGGTGCAACTCACACAATTCGTTTTGGCAACCGCCGCCTTCGCTGGTGTTGTATCTGCAGCTCCCAAGCCGCCTCCTCCAAGCAATGTAACCGTCAACCCTTGGACTGGTAAAGACCGCTATGTCGTTCAGAGTTATGGCAAGAAACTCGAGCAGACCATCGCCTCCTTCACGGCCCAGAACGATACTCTCAACGCTGCGCGCACTCGCACCGTTGCTCAGAAGATCTCAACCTTCACTTGGGTCACTACACGTGATGGCCTGAGCCTCATTCCTACTGCCATCAAGGAAGCTCGTAAGCAAAGAAAGGGCGGAAAGAAGATGATTGTCGGTCTGGTTCTATACAACTTGCCCGACCGTGACTGTTCCGCTGGCGAATCCGCTGGTGAGCTCAGCTCCGCGAATAACGGCCTCCAAATCTACAAGAAAGAATTCGTGGACAAGTACGCAAAGCTAGTTTCTGGAGCCAAGGATCTTGACTTCGCCATCGTTCTCGAACCGGACTCCCTGGGTAACGCCATCACAAACCAGGGCATCCCTTTCTGTTCGACAGCCACTCCAATCTATGAGGAAGGTATCGCGTATGCAATCTCCAAGTTGCAGTTCCCCAACGTACATCTGTACATTGATGCTGCGCACGGCGGCTGGCTCGGCTGGGCAGACAACCTGAAGCCCACCGCTCAGATCTTTGCGAAGGTCGTTGCCATGGCAAAGAAGCTCAACCCCGCAGCTAAGATCCGGGGCTACTCCACGAATGTGTCTAACTACAACTCTTTCCAAGCCAAGGTACGCGAGAACTACACCGAGTACTCGCCATCTTGGGACGAGAGCCATTACGCCTCGTCGCTTGCTCCTTACCTCGAGGCTGAGGGCCTGCCATCCAACTTCATCATCGACCAGGGCCGCGTCGCGCTCCCTGGTGCTCGTGCGGAGTGGGGTGAGTGGTGCAACGTGGAACCTGCTGGATTCGGCGCCCTTCCCGGTTCCAAGCAGAACAACCCCAATGTCGATTCTCTTGTTTGGATCAAGCCCGGTGGCGAGAGTGATGGAAAATGTGGCCTTGATGGCGCGCCGGCTGCTGGCGCTTGGTTCGACGAGTATGTGCAGATGCTGGTAAAGAACGCCGATCCACCTCTTGAGCCGACCTACCTGGGAAAGCCACCCAAGGGCCCTAAAGTTTAGATGTAGTTGCCTTGAACGGAGCTGATCGACTGTAAAACTCCCAATTTTGTAGCAGTTCAGCTGTATATACTAGATTGGATACTCGAAAATGTTATAAGACATATTTTTCTACAAGTCCTCGCCAATCTTGATAATACATCGAGTGCTGCTTGCAAACTCATCTTGACTAATACGCTGACCACGAAGCTTTAGAGGTCGTAGCTGAGTTCCGAGTGCAGGAAGGGTAGACGTGTGCCAGACTTCTCATCCTGCGGCGATAAGCAAAGAGATGGGTACTCCGAGCTCACGCGTGATTGCACGCTAGCTTGGCAGCTGCCTAGCCCCAGACCTGCTGCTTTATAAGAGTTCGTTTGTATTGGCCGTTTAAGTCACTACAAAGGCCTTCTTGCTGCAGTCCTGCAATATCTCTTTCCGTCAACTTCATACACTCAACTTGGTACCGAAACCTGCAAGATGGCCACCGTCGTCTGGGACCGCGAAAAGGCTGATTCTAACTGGGAGGAACTGCTCAGGCGCGCGACTAACCCTGGGGAAGCCGACAAAATGTAAGTCTCTTAGTCTAGCGCAACCTTGGGCGACTAATACCTTGATGGATGACTGACTAGCTCGAACAGCGCCACCGCCAACCAGCTCAGTTCGCCTATTTTTCGATTAACTGGCGAAATCCGCACTCTCATCCATAATCAAATTTGCCTCTCTACTACAGTCATGTACAAGAAACGCTCGGATGTTTCCGGCGGCGCTTGCCTCTTCAACCAGACCTTTCTCCTCACTTGCAAACAATTCTACTGCGAGGCCATAGCACTCTTTTATAGTCTCGCGACGTTCGAGCTATCTGGTCATGCAGGGTGGCTGACTCAGAGAGGCCTTAACCCCAAGTATCGCAGTCTCACCACCTCGGCTTCTGTGGACGGCGAGGTGGTATCAAGGGAATTTAGCGCCATCCTCCGTGAAGACACAAGCGAGAGATCTGCATCGTCAGAAGTCCCGTCACCTGAGATGTGTCTGCCTGGGGTGAAGAAAATATATGTACATGGCCGATTTTGGTCAACTGAAGTCGTAAGGTTTACACTAAGGAAATTGTTCAAGAAGGAGGACTTGCCCATCACTGGTGACGAAGCCCTAGTTTGTGAGGATGCATGGCGGGACTGCAGGATTTCATAGCTTTGACTGCTGTTAGCGCGTTATTTCCGGCTTCTTTTCTCTCATCCCTTGTGGAATGAGTGGTTAAGGGTACATTTGCATCCATGTTTCCTAGCCACAGCTATAACGAGGAGACCCAATGAAGATCAACCACGTAGTCAGTAGCAAGGAAACAAGACCATTCCCACAATATCCGATGATTGTGCTTCGTCAGCTTTATATGTGAACGAGATTTGTGGTGTCTCACTGCTGTTGTACTTTCACTTCCGCACGTACCTAATTTAAACACCTAGCTCCAACTTCCGGTCTAGTTTTCTTTCTGATTCCCTCTCCACATGCAACACCCCTTGAATTATTCGCGTGTTATTTCCCGTTAACAAACACAGCACGATCAGTCTCAGCACTACATCTTCGGCCGCATTTAATCCTTCAACCCCACTCGTCGCTCTCTCAAATTCAAATCTTCCAATCGAAGATGTACAACTCTCATATCAGTCAGCTCCTAGATACGGCACGAAGCCCGCAGGTAGTCTTTCCGTTACACGACCTTCAATATCAGTTCCATAAGTCCCGTGTACTTCAAGCAACTAATTAGACATGAGAACGGTTTGCTTATCACATCGCTTAGTCTAAACAGGAGGGAGTTGCCACGGCTAGTACTGAAGGGAAACGTCGAATATTTTGGGCTTTAGGACGAGTGAAACTAGCTTGCTATGAGCCCAAGTGCAGAAAAGAGATCTGAATGAAGGCTTTGGTGTATTATATGGAGAGCGTGAAGGGTTTTGTACGGAGTAGCATCTGCTCTTGACCTATTGGAAAGGAATTACGATAGTTCTCATTGGAGAGGATTAGAGGACCATTAGGTAGTCGCTCCTTCCAATTAGTCAAAAAGTCTGTTGAGCTCACTCTCAATTCGCTTGTCACCTTACTTTCACTTCGCTTTCCACCTCACTACCCACCTTGAACTTTGACTGTCACTGCTCTCAATTCCGACACGAATCACTTTCTACCTTCCAACCCCCACCTAAATACTTGCCATGGAAGCCGAAACCTCCTCCGAGACCTTACAATGCGACGGCGCGATGTCAGAGGCGCAATTTTCCCGTTTCTCATTCGTGTCCATAGCAACTAACACCTCGTCTAGTACACTCAAGAACCAGCTCGTGTCACCTCTCTTCCGCCTGCCGGCCGAAATTCGCAACAAGATCTACACCTATGTGAGCTTCTCTGTTAGTATTATAGTTCAAAAAATCTACAACATGCACACTTACGGTTTTCTTTTTTTCTCTGGGTTGCTAGGCTTTATTGAAAGCTGCAAACAGATCTGGCGGGAAGCGACGACACTACTATACACGATAGCGACTTTCGACTTTACCTATGGCGAAGTGGTATTCCGGCTATCTGGAGGCTTCAATCCCAATATCAGTGCCCTTGTCACCTCGATGAGGAATTCAGGATTGTTGGTTTCCCACGTGGTATATGAAGTCACTGATTACAACAGTTGCTGGCATTCTACCAAGTCACCAGTAGTATGCCTCTCAGGCCAAATATAAGGCTTGGGCTGTACGGGCTCTCTACCCTCTATGTCGACTACACATATGTCCTCGGGCATGAGGATGGTATTCTCGCCGCGGTAATTGGGAGTGAATACTACCGCTTCCTGCCACACATGATCCGGTCGCTCCACCACCTCATTGGAAGACATTAAAATTAAGGATATTATTTATTTCAACAACCAATTCTTTCACATACGACCACAGGACACTGAAAATTAGTTCACCCGTTCGATCCGTCAAAACTCGCGGTGCCGTGTTGAGGTCGATTAACTGAGGTTCGTCCTCGGTTACCCGTTTCAGGAATCGCGACTCCGTCCGCAGCCCCCACCACCATAGCCCCAAATGACTATTAACAGTAATTCAACACTCGCTGCAATAGCAGCGCACTGGTTTAAGGATGAGCTGCCGCCAGGGTCGGGCTCGCAACCTTCCTGTCCTCCTCACACTGTCTACACTGCAGTGCTACTCCCTCTACAGTCCTGATGGCGCCTAAGAAGAAGAGTACAGATCTTGCGCATTTGCACTCTCTTGTTCAGCTTGAGAAAGAGCCAACTCCGCTTACGCAGGAAGACGTGAAAGCTCTGCTGATTCCTTCAAGCTACAAATCACACATGTACACTATGGATCTCTGGATAGAGTAAGTTAAGAGGTAGCATTAGGTGCAAATATTTTGCTAACAAGCTAGATTCTTCAAGACCTTCTACCCTCACGAACCTGTGAATCCTAAGTTCGGAGAAGCACCCGCTGTGTACCGTATTAAGATGCACCTGTTCTGGCTTGCTGAAACAAGGACTGGCCAACTGGACGAGAACATCACAGACACTACTCTTCGAAACCGCCTGTCTTCACTCAAACGAGCCATCAAGTTATACACTGGTTACCAATATAGCTCCGCGCAGAACAAGGAGCTAGAGAACTTTATCACCAAAGAGCTCGTACATAAAGAGAAGATTGGAACTAGGGCGTACATTAAGCCAGTAGCTCCTTTGCTTGTCGCTGAGGATCTTATCCAATTCATGTGGGTGTGCGACGAGTATAGATTTGCGCATCCACGTGCACGTCTGCAGTTGGCTTTCTCCATCGTCCTCATGACATATCTGGGCAGTCGCCCAGGAGAAATCATCGAATCAGCATCCTGGAAACACAGTAATGAGGGCCTCCTGTATGATGACATCACTCTCGTACGTTTCCAAAATGAAGAATACGTAGGGTTTCTTCTGCATGTCAAGTTGCGCAACCGAAAAGGCCATCGCAACAACAAAAAGCACTCGTAAGTGGAGATCCCCTAAGCGAAAAAATCTCAATTCTAAGAAAACATAGACCTGTAATGCTTCTCTACGAAGAACCTACGCGAGCTCTATGTCCAGTCACTCATTTTTTAGCGTTAGCACTAGCAGACGGAGTGTTCGCGGACCGTCAGTCTTTCCAAGACGTTGCAGCACAGGAACTGCCACCAGATAGTAAGCTATACAGATATCGCTACAAGCCGGAGGCGAAGAAAAGACCTATCCTTCGAGGTATCTGCAACAATGGCGTAGTCTCCGAAAACGATATCCTCACATATGATTGCTTCAACAACATGATCAAGGGTCTTGGACAACGGGCTGGGTATGAAGACAGGCTGAGTGCATATTGCTTCCGCAGAGCGTATGCTGTAGCAGTCGAGAGTATGTATCACACGATGATATGATGCTTGCTTTCAACTGACCATCTGAAAGAGACGGCAACTCCAGCTCAGAGGAGGTTACTCATGGGTCATTCCAACGATGATACGGTCTTGTATTACATTTCCGGCATCGTTGGAGTTGACAGCCAGTCCATGATCCACGGGCGAGAGCAAAAGACTAAACTCATTGACGAAAACACTTCTATGATGTCGAAAAGGAATGTTCTTGCACCAATGCCTCCCGGATCTCAACTCACCGACCGTGTCATACCAAAAGCTAAGGAGATTGGTAAGAATGTTAAGGAAGTGAGTTTATTGGAACGGACTCCAAGCCAAGAGTATGCTATACGACGGCAATCCCGAAAAGTCGCGTACCGTAGGCAACGGGATGCTTTTTTCGAGGGAGGAAGTACTAGGTCTCCCGATGCTGCAACATCATCAACTTCTGGACAAACCACGACAAAGCCTTTGCGTACTCCATCGCGATATCTGCAAGCTTTCTTGAAGTTTGAGCCTGAAAGGAAAGCTATCTCGAGCGTGCTTTACCCCGGCTGCGCTACGACAGCTGATGTTGCGGCCGAAGGGACTAAGATCTCGCTCGATGTCATACTCGAGCCAATGGTGAAAATATCTTGTCCAGAGAAGAAGCGGTACGCCTATGCATCTGCTTCACCTACTAAGGAGAACCGTTGTGGTGTGTGTAAACATCAATTTCATCAGAACAATAAGAAGTACGTACTCCGCATTATGTTGTATGCTCTACTAACAATGACAGATCAAGGCCGGATCGAATGAATGAGCACTTACTTCATTGTGCTCGCAAAAAACGCATACAAACTGAACGAAAACACACGGACTGTCAATTCGCCTACATTCACCGTTGTGCTTGGTACGGCTGTAATTTCAGCTTCCGTGGAAAATCTTGCGGGACTAATTCTTCTCATGTTACGAGGCATATACATGATATACGCAGTCACCAGTGTTTATGGAATACGTGCCTCCAAATTTTCCAGAGTTACGAGAAGCTAGCTCATCACGTCTCTGAAAAGCATAGAGTCCCCAATGATTGGACTATGCTGACAAAGATGCACTACTGTTACGAGCACGACGAATGGTGCCGCTCAGACGAGCTGTGGTCACAGCATCTTGAACGGTACCACCTCTCTGAACTCAACAACTTTTGCGGCATCATCCGGCTTGATGGGGTGATCATAGTTGCCGGGCATTGCCTCTTATGCTTAGGCGATATGAATGCGCCGTTGCATGATCGCTTTCTGCAATTTGACAGCGCTTTTAATCTGCATACCCATATGAGAAAGCATCTAGCTCAACTAGATGTTCCTCCAGCTGTTTGTCCGCACCCGCACTGCCAAAATACACTCGGCTCTGAGGACACATTCTGGAGCCACGCAGAAACCGTCCATGGCATGCCGCCTTTTGGCCCCCGCCGAAGAACAGGAAAACGTAAAACACCAGACGAGCTTGAGGATTCCGAAGATGACACAAACCATACAGCTGATAGCACGCCAGACCCGCTTAGCAATGGCATTGATACATCATGCGGAGTTGCGGCGAGCCATAATCTAGCGGCAGATGAGGCAGTGTAGACTTAGTACGACTTGCGGCGCTTAAAGTTGGCGGTACCGAAGGTGAGGATTGCAGCGATCGAGACGCAAGCGCTTCGGCAACGAGGCGCTTTGGCAACAAGGCGCTTTGTTGACAGGATTGGGAACGCAGAAAGCGGCCAAAACTAGAGATACTTAAATAAGATCGTAGAATCTTTTGCTTAAAGACAGGTACAGGCACTTGACTACTACTACAAGCATGACTACGCTGAATGAGAGGTCCGCGCGTCATCGCGCTAAGCTCAGACGGCGCACGGCCACTGGAACTTCCCGGAGCCCATCGCCCCTTCCCCCACCCTCTCCATCACCCTTTGTGCCGTCGCGCTCCACATCGCCCTTAGTCCTTCCTACCCCGCTACAATTGGAACTTGAACATCAAGCACAGCTCAACTTTGACTTCGAGCGACCAAGTCCAATTCGCCATAGCCCCTCACATCTGTCCCAATCATCCGGACAACTTGTTGGGGACGACCAGCGTCAACTACTTGAAACACAATTGCACAACACTCTCGAGCAACTTGGTGCTTTGCCTCATAGCGCATCCTCCCGAACTCGACTCAAATCGCAAGCGCGCGACATCCTTCAGTTGCTAGAGGACCTTCCGCCTAGACCATGCCCATGTCCTCACCACCAGGACGTGCCGACCGGAGCCACGGTCGACGACAGCAGGGTCGTAATGGATAACGGTAGGATTGGCACGAACAAAAGCAGGATTGTGACGAATGATAGCATGGTCATGCTTGCGGTGGTATGATCAAGTTACCCACAGCTTAATTAAGCTAACTGTCTCTGCAGAACTCCACAGACGTTTCACACACATACCTGGTCTTCAAGTTCACAGCCCCGCCCATCAACAACCCGCTTGACCCCTCCTACGACCCGCGTCTCGACGTAGCCCTGCTCCGTCCAGCGGGCCAAACCATCCAAGACCAAGAAAAGTACATGGAAGACCGCGAAGCGCACCGCCTGAACCCGACAGTCCCACCGCCCATCCCGCGCTGGCAATTCGAATACTTCCTCCCGTCGGACAAGTCCAAAGTCCGCGGCATCAAACGCAACTTCACGACGCACGACCCAACCAACGAATCCGACATTGACTTTGACATTGCCGAAGACGACGACGGCCAGCCGCGCAAATGCTTCAAGTACGACAATGTGCGCACGTACGAGACGAGCCAGCAGGTTGGCGATCCGAGTGATACGTACGGCGATGTTGTGGCGCTTGCCCTGCATGATCCGGAGAAACATGCCAACGAGCCCCTCAGGGATAGCAAGATGCAGCGTGCGGCCTACTTTTACCCTATTACGCAGCGCACCAGCTTGAGGCCTAGACGGCCTGGTAGGATCGATATGACGGAGGAGCAGCCTAAGGTTGATATTATTGAGGCTGCGGGTAAGGAGCCGGAGGGGGAGAGGAGGGAGGGGTATCGGAAGAGGGCTGAGGGTGTCGAGTAGGGTATTGATGGGTGAGGTTCTGATAGTGTGGGAAGAGGGCTTGCTTGGTCTTCTTGTCGTGACGGTGCATAAAGTTGAGATTGAAGTCATTTTGGTATTCATCATCAGCGAAGGCGTTACTGAGGTATGCAGATGTAACAATATGGACACTGGTGCGTAAAGAATTACACTCAAGACTGTTTTCTTCTTTCTAATCTTGAAAATAATTGCATGGGTGTATGGTGCTTTCTTTGGGCTATAACAAAGTTCGGATATATATTGCCTCTATTCTTTTGTGGTATCTCTGTTGCGAGGGCCTTGGACTGGGTGCGAGCTGTGCTGAGGTACTGCCCTCCAATTACATCACCACATTGTTGATCAGTAAGTATTACACTCTGTCTTTTTGCTGAACCCAGGAATTGACATTTGATTGAACCCACATTGAGTTCAATTTCGAGTCTCCTGTGACAATGTTTGAATCATGAATAAGTGCGAGGAAACAGAGATATGTGACTACAAGTAAGAACATAGGAAAGTACATGCAGGCTGGCACGGTACAGCAAACACCCTGTGACTAAACACCCTACTATATCGCGCAGATAGCTCCCCGAAGACTCTCCACTGTATCAAGCTTCGTCCTTACGTTGCCGAGACTAGCATAATCCTTCTGACTAATAGCCCGCCTCGACTGGGCCGCGTTCTTGAAGCCACTCCGACCAACGCCTGCGCCAGCCAAGTAGGAAAAGACGGCAATAAGCGCGTTTTCAGGATCCTCGATCACAGTGTATAGTGTTAGAGCCGCGTCACCTGCAGTGCCAATAAGCCGCAACAAACTTCGCGCAGCTGTTAGGCCTGCAGCGCCAGCGGCTTCACCCACTACAGGAATGAAAAAGAGAAGGCTTGTGATGAAATTCAGGATAAATTCCTCCCGCTCTTTCTTCTCAATATCGTTGGCCTTGTCGATGATTTGCTTCATGCTTTCAATCGCCTCTTGGATTGCGAATGCAGGGATTGATGTGGCATCGACCAAATCGGACAGTAGCATCTCCTCATCGTAATCGCCAAACTCCTGCATGTATTGGAAAGAGTCGAGCATCTCATTGGCTTTGGAATATGAGTCTCCAACAATGTCTTTGGGGTTGTAAATTTCGATGTCCTCTTTGGGTCCGGGGTAATTCCAGAAATATTGATTGGTCCGCAGCAAACATGGTTTGAGGTCTTCTGGCTTTTCGACCCCCTGACAACCATTGGGGGTAATGTGCATGAGTCTCGGGCGGAAGGAAATCCAAGACTCTTCGATGCCCCATGCGTCTGCGAGGTCCTTGAAGAAGCTGTCCGAGTCGTTGAGCGTGAACGTGACGTTGGGTATACGCTCCCCTACATCAAGCCCCTTGTCCCCGAACTCCATCTTCGGGCATTTGTCCATTGCGACGTCACCATACCCGGATTTGCAATTCTTGTCGCTGATGTAACCAACACAATCGACCGCACATTCGGGAACTTTGCAGGAAGAGCAACATGTTCGCCACTTGTAGTCTTTGCACGTGAAGTACTTATCAACCCGATCCGAAGCCATGAAGTTGTCAATCTGGTCAGGAATCTGAGCTTTGACAAACTTCTGGTAGATTTCAAACTTCTTGTCATAGTCGCCGTCGACTAGTGTCTTGTATGTTGCGAGAGCGTCTTCGTAAATGGCTACCTGCACATTTAGGATGTATTGTTCCATGCAGTGGGGCGGTATCGAATCCTTCCGATCCTCGAGTTGCTGGAGTGTTGCGAATTCGGAAGATCCGCATTCCGAAAACCAATCAGGATCGATGAGGTAGTCTCCGTCGTCGTCTTCGCCGGTGCCGCTGATGACTGTTAAAATACTGCAAAACCGCTGCAAAATAGCTTGTCGTGCAACTTACTCAACAAAAGACTGAAGGTCAACAGCCCAATCTGTAGTACCTGCGAAGTTATACGAGTCATAGAAATCCGATCGCGTCTTCTTCATGTCTTCGTCCATCCATGCCACCCACTCAGTATCGTTGTAGACCATGATGTTGGAACCCTCCTCTTTCCACTGTTTGTTCACGCTGCCAGACTTAATGATTTCGTCAATCTCAGCATTGGAAATGTACCCTGAAGTAGCAGTACATCTCCCCTGCTGAGCGTTGGATACCCGAGCTGACCCAGTGAACTTGCACTGTTCCGAATCACAGCCGGCCTGCGCCATCTTGAACGACCGGCCATAGCTGGCGACACCTACAACAACTTTGTTTGAGGGCGCGCCAGCTTTGGTGATCATAGACAGGGCGTCTTTGGTCTCTGTCTCGTTAACATGAGACCTGAGACAGTTGCCAGTGTCGCAACCCGGAGAAGTCCATTTGTTGCCATAGTCCCATTGTCCGTGCAAGTCGTAGGTCATGTAGATGATGTAGTCGAGACTTGAAGCCATCTGCTTGATTGGAAACGACTTGAGGTACCAATATGATGCCGGCGCTGCAAACGAGACAGTCTTGGAAGAGCCAAGAGATGTCTTGAGACTTGAAAGAAGTCGATAGTAATTCACGCCGTTCACAGGGTCGTCGCTAGGGATTTCTGGAATATCGGGAGCCTGATCGAACAAATGTTAGCGTTGTAAAACATGAGGGGGAACGAGGAAGTGTGCTCACTCCTGGATACTCCCAATCGAGGTCTATCCCATCAAGGCCGTGTTCATTCACAAAGGAAATGAGGTTGTTCTTGAAGAGCTCACGGTTGGCAGGTAGTGCAGCTTCGCGGAGGATCGAGAAGGTTCCAGGCTCGGTACTGAAGGCCCAACCACCAAGTGAGACAATCTTCTTTACTCCAGTCATGCCCTTGAACAGTTCAAACTGCTCCATGACCGATGGGTCAGTGATTTCCACTTTGTAGTCGCCTCTTGTGACGTTTGCAAATGCAAAGTGAATGTGTGTGTAGGCATCTGTGTCGATCTCGTCCACCCACATGGTCAAGCAGTCCCGGGCAAAGTTCCACGACTCGTAATAGGCCACTTTGATCTTGCTCGCTGGTGCCGAACCTTTGATGATATCCCTTCCACAATTGCTAATGCATCCATTTTCCCCTGGAGCCGATGTGCCAGGCGCACCGGTCTCGGATTTGGAGATGACACAAAAGTCGTCGGTCAATCCACACTGGCCCCAGATGTTGCAGCAAACGTTCAACGGACAGGGATTGAGCATAGAGAGATCACCGCCGGTCAAGAATACAGGTGTCTGCATAGTACCGTTCACCGTTGGTCCGCAAACCGCGTTGGGCACGCTGGCTGGCATCGGGGGGCCACCGGTGCTCACACACATCTTGAAATCCGGAAAAAGTCGCTTGCAGCCGTTCCACCCCCATGTTTTCTTGTTGAAAGACTCCAGCTCGGTCACGGTCAGGTCACGAGAGGCCGCAATCACTGAACAGCTGTCATCTTTCTTAGTCGTATAGACAGCGCAGTTGCCACTGACGTCAGGCTTAGGCTTGAGGTCCGGCATCTTGCCGCTAGAGCAGCATACCTGTTGCCCTGGCGCCAGCGATGAGCAGAGGTTGGTCTTGGTGTTGACCTGCGTGAATTCTGCCGCACTGATGCCACATTTTGACGCAAGTGACGCACATGTATCGCCGCTTACAACTGGCCTACGCGACAATGTCAGTGATCTTGTCGATGAGATGACGAGCTGTGGGCTACTGACCTTGTCTTGCATGTACCGTCGGAGTTTCCAGATGGCAAAGTACTTGGCAATGTGCCACTGCTGCAGCAGACCTTCTCGTCTTTCACCAGGGTAGTGCAAAGCTTGGCGCGATTGTACTTCTCCAGATTGGCTTGGCTGATCCCACATCTGTTCGCCACAGTGACGCAACCATCGCCGGACTGAACGGTAATCGTCTTACAGTCAGCCCTAGCGCTAAGGTAAGATCGTGCGGTGAAATGAGTGGGAGATTTCGTCTCAGGTCCTGAAGTCATATTTGTCGCGTTGTTCAACCATGAGTCGATTGGCGTGGGAACGCGTAGGGTGACTTGCATCCATGCCTCGCCAGCTCCAGCTTGAGAAACACAACCGCCATCAGCCCACGTGCTAACGGCCTGTTTCACAAATTGAAGGTTTGACACGCTCGTGGCAACGATCCCCATGCTGTAATCTGCCCCGCGATGACCATTTCCACATAATTGGACAACAATCGATTGAGAAACCGATCTTTCTCGCGCAAAGTCCAGAAAGACTTTGAGGACGTCTGAAGTCAACCCATGCTGATGAACCTCAGCTCCGGCAAAGAGTCCCACCGCGGATGATTGGGAATAGGCGAATTCCATCGCATTGTTTGTGCAAGAAGGTTGTTGCAAACTGAGGTGATTGGCGATCTGATTTCCAGCCGCAAGGAGATGATTGGTAGAAAATCCATCGTTGTTGTCGGCTGTCGGTTGATGCATGAATACAGTAGCATTTTCCAAAACTCGGTTGGCTGTGGTACATAAAGACGCCTTCTTCTCATCAGGCACATGCGCGGCGTTCGTATTGGGCTCGTAGTCGGCTGAGCATGCTTTAACTATCTCCAATGCGCCTTTGTTGTCGTCGTCGAGAGATGATTGTACGACCATGTTGAGAAGCATTGTCTCATTGCAGAATGCCAGTTTTGTGAGGTCCGAATACAAAAACCAGCCCGCGCTGGAATTGATGTCCTGACCCCCACCGCATGGGATAGGGCAGGCTTTGAGTACGTCCGGTGACACACGCTTGGCTGCCGCCATCCACTCATCGAGATCATCCGTGACATCATCCGACGTGTGAGTGACAATGATATCTGAAGCCCAAGTGACGGCAGCTCCAGCATATATGATGAAAAAAACATGTAAAAGAATTTTAAACTCCATACTGGCTGTGTGGTACCTAGGTACTGTAAACACAGGCTTGGAATAAAGGCGCGTGGGCCAGATTGGTAACGAATGACAGGAAAGTGAGTGCAGTAAAGAGTGTGATGAAGAAAACAAATTGAGCACAACAAAGTTTAGAGACTCTTATGGGGTTTCCGAACAGCTGTTTAAGAATAAAACCCAGCTCTATTAAACGTATACGACTACTCGTAAGAGGCGTGACCGAGTGGACTGGCTAGCGCCAACATAGTCAACCTTTACCGACCTACTCACTAACGCGATTGTTCCAGATTATCGGGGCTGTCTCATATCAACCCAAATCAGAATTGGGGCTAGATCCAAAATTGTACGATTTGGGTCGAGACATAAAATACTTCCCTGATAACTGGGTGCAAAGCTAAGCGCATTCATGCCAAGACGCTCGGTTAGGTATCCAGACAATCTTGGGATCATGGCCGAGCCGTTGCCGCCGTTGCTTGAAATTGTTCCCCACCCCTGCTCTTTTGCGGACTGTCGCCTTCCCGATTCGGCACGCACCGGATGAACTGTCGTTCTCCCGTAATTGCGGCATTTTGCATCAGCGCGGCTCCCTGATCATTCACTCTAACCTCTGTCTAGCCGTTGCTGGTGTTCTTATCATATTTGGATCCTCTACCTTTCCAAACGAGCTTGGTGAGCGTTACAGGCTGCGCATAAAGCCTCAGTTTGGTATGTTGAACATTCGAGTTTGCGTAATACAACACCCTACAGGGATAAATGAAAAAAATTGAGTGACCACTCAACAATCTTGTTCTTGTCAATTTCGAATCATCAAATTGAGACGTCCTAGTGTAACTATCCTTTTCTCAGTCGGAAATGTTATCTCTCGGCAAACGTGATATCTTAGTTAGCTTCGGAGAACGCCAATTTCTACGTGGCACAGTTGTGACAGCGACATAGCCGCCATAACCTCAGATGATTACGGATCAGTTCATTGAGGAGTCTAGATCTTGGGAAGACATAGGGGCAATTTCCAGTCCCGGACTACTGGCGGCACTATTCCGGAACACCAGTACTACTGTAGTTGGCTAAGTAATTTTCTAGCCGACGAGCATAACAGCTCAAAACTCAAAGCGTATCTCCGACTTCAGTACTCAGACTTCGCCTTCAGTTACCTGCCTACTCTTGACAGCTAACTCGAGCTACCTTTCATTGTATTCTTCCAATATGAGAGTCTCCCTTCTGTTCGCTCTCTCCTATCTTTCCACTGCCGTCTATGCAGGCGGGTATCAGGGATGCCTTGAACGCGTATGGATGTATCAAGCATACCAAATCGACGCCCTCAACGACGAGGATTCGCGAACAATCGGCTTCAAATGCCTATCTTGGAACGGTGCAGGTGGAAGTTGCGATAAATGGAAGCCATGTGAAACTCCCCCGAAGAGATGCGACTTCGACGGGTGGTCTCGCTTTTTAGGCAAAGCACCAACCCCCAAGGGATGGGCAGTTTTTCGAGAAGACGACAGCACCAGGTTGGATATAGATAAAACCGCGATGATCTGCTACAAGCGGTTTTACGAAGGCGAAGGGAAAAAGAAGAGTGTCCCTAATCCTCCTCCTGATAAAGTCATGAAAGACACGATCAGCGGCCTCGGCGCGTACAACGACCAGATCAAGAAAGTTTCGATGATGACAAGCGAATTATACGCCAAAAAAACCTCGGAAAACCAGCACTTGTGGGATGATCTTGACGATGCCGTCAATAAGATCAAGAAAGCGCGCGAGGGCGACCACGGGTTTCCATACGCCATTGATAACGCGAAGGAGAAATTCAAGGACGTTCTCGAGATTAAGACTGAGGATCTGGGCGAAAATCCTGGCAGTGGCGAGAAATGGGAGAAGGTGGACTGGAAGGAGACTTGGGAGGAAGCCCGCAGTAATGGTTTTGAGAAAAAGGATCTGAACCAGAGATTCAGAGAATATTTCGACGGATTCTACGGGAAGGAGAGCAAATCTAAAGCCCCGAGAAGCCACATCGCGGTGATCAGGTCTTTCAAAAGGGCCCAAGACCGAGCCAAGAAATGCCGACAGAAGCCAGCACCAGAGTCCTAAACTCCCGACGAACCAAACGATACAGGTACTCATGACTGAGAAATGCCGCAAACAAAACCATCGATTGAGGTGATCCTGCAGGTACTGGTCGGCTCCGTTCAAGGACCTTTGTTCTTCTTTACTTCGTTTTTTTTTCGTTGCCGTTTCTTATTAGGTTGTCAAATAATTTTACAGTGTTCGATGCTATTGGTTGCCTCCCAAGTTATGCGAATTGTCGGGCCAATTCGTGATACTCCCATTACAATACAGAAAATTTGTGCCTTGCTCTCTGCTCTCTGCTTCCGATAGACGATCATACATGTGCTCTAGATCCATCAGCTTCATTTTTTGATCCTCTTTGTCGTCTATGAATAATACGTTTTCCACCCCGCAATGCCAGATGTAGCGCTGTGAAGCCCCATGCCAGTCTTCCATATCGCCGTTTTCGCTGAGCACCACGTGAATCTCCGACACATTTTTGTAGTGGCGAAGTTCTTCGGCTCCGCCCATTCTGCACCAGTACTCGTCGTTGTTATCGCACGAAAATCTCAGTCTTTTAATCCTCTCTGCAATAGGCTCGAAGACGTGTAGCTCGGTATCGCCGATGGAAACCATGTCGATGTCCAGATTCAACCAGACATAGTGCTGTTCTGAATCCTCTGCAGCCCCGCGGCGAATAGTTAGATCAGTGAAACAACGCTGGTATAATCCGGCGTTCCGCGATTCTCGACACGTCTGTAGCGTTGCTGGCACGGGCGTGGACGACAAAATCGACCAGCGGAACGTGGGACCGAATTTGTTCGTGTCTCGAAAACGGACCTCAACGATCCGAGGCTCCACCGTCATTTCCCATATCTGAGCACGAAGTTCCGCAGGGAGTCGTGGGAATGGATGGAACGTGGCCATGCCGTAGTGAAGGATTCGAATAACGGTGATAATGAGTGAATATCTCGGCGTGTGTACAACTTGAGACGAGTGGTAATTGGAGATAATGAAACGGAGGAACGAAGAATCTGGACCTGCATGCGAACAGAGTTTAATGCAGGAACTTAACCGTTCGCCAAGTATCAAGGGTCAGCTTGACTAGCCCATGTTGATCCCCACCTTCCGTTTCTGGAATGGCCCCAGATCCTCCGTGGTGACCTCGGGAGACCCTGGATTTGTCGATAAGACGGGATCCATGGAAGAAACGCCCCACCAGGTGCTGCCGTTAGAAGAATCGCATCAACAGGCGCATATAGGCATACATCCGGCGCTAAGCCCGGCATGTTGCGTACCTAGATAGACTGCCTATAATGAGCAACGACCTCTGGGTGTGCGGCCCGCCCGGAAAATCCAGGTAACACCTGGTCGAGACCAAATATGGAAGCTGCGATCTTACCCCGGTATGCAGGCCGTCTTCACTTGGATATTGCAAGCCTCAAATATCACTATTCTCGATGAGGAGATGGGTTCGCCTAGGCCCAGACCCGAGATCATCAAGCTTTGGATCATTACTGATACAGGACTCTGATACCGTGTTGTTCATCTAAACATCCTACTCTAAAAAGGTACTACAAGTCTCATTGGCAGCATTTACTCGATAGCTACTCGCCCACATTGTTCCTTTGTTGGTTACTGTACAAACCTCCTTCACGGTTTTTCCATTGATCGCATGCTGTTGCATTTTTGCGACACCCTCTATCATGAAGTTCTCAGTCTTCATCTCTTCAGCTGCGCTTGTTCGCCAGGTCGTTGCCTCCCGCTGGCCGGAATTCGAGTGGGACCCAGAGACCATCAAAGACTGTATCGAATGGTACAACAATGGCTTTGATGTGCCGTGTGAAGACGTGCGCAAATCCTTTGCCATCAGTCCGCAACTATTCCATGAATGGAACCCTTCGGTTGGTCTCGACTGTAAGCCATGGGAAATTAAGTCATACTGCGTTCTCTCGCAGGAGTGGTGGGATAGCAGGCCAATATCGACATCGTCCTCGGCAATCCCTACGACCACAACCACCTCATTTACACTGGCTCCTTCTCCTACGTCCTGGATCGATAAAGGCTGTTATGTGGAGGATCCGAAGTTACCACTTCTCGACCGAAATATGAGCCCTAATGGAGACGCATCTTTGACCATCCCGAAATGCAAGAACAGTTGCTATCGCCGTGCTTACGAGATCGCGGGTGTACAAGAAGGCAACCAATGCTGGTGTGGCACTTACATCGGCGGGCTATGGGCAAAAAACCAGACCGACTGCAACATTCCCTGCACTGGAGACAAGACAACAAATTGTGGTGGAAAGGGATTACTAAACATATTCCGGGCCGAGAAGAACGAGACGCCTACATCAACCGTTGTCTCTGGTAGTGGTCGTACAAGTGCCACGGTCTCCAGTGCTACCGTCGCCAGTGCTACTCTCGCCAGTGCTAGCCACGCCTCTGGAGCCAACAAGAACATAGTCATGTTCTGACGAGATCGACGAGATCGACAGCATATTACTCGGTTCCTTTCCAAGGTGTCAGCACTGTTGCTAGACCTCATCTCGTAGTTTGCTTATTTTCAATTGTTGTACTCGTAGAGCCTCTATGGATTTACCTCCTAGATGCGCATACTAGCTTTCACATGGATTCTCTAGATACATGTACTTATGTATTACAAATAATTCAATCCTATAATGTTTCGATGAAGATCTATTTTCTCTTCTCACGTTTGAATGATTGTCGACGTTCCACTCTCGCATGTGCTTGAGACCAGTAACTCGAGAACATCCACTGAATATACGCCTTGCATATGTTCATCTACGTCATCCCATGGTACTCCGATGACGCAGAAGCGACGAGCTACTCGTAATTTTCGCAAAAATAAATGAGGTTCTCAAATCGGAAGTAGTGCGAACACGAAGGACCCTCACGTGTGTGCTGCATTTCTAACAAGCCCATGTTAAACAATCTCGAGACCCCTCCCACTCCAAACGGAAGACAGAAATTGACTCACGCGCACCATGCGCAAAAGAGCCACGAAGGCCGTTCTCGAATCTGCTGTGCCACAAGCACGCAGAACCTCGGCTTCGGCATCATGCCCGTGCGCGTACTAGTACGGTAGCGCCATGTTCTCCTGCAGGAGAAAAGCGCGAAGATGCATCCCTCAGGGGGGAAAGAAGCAATATTTCGGATTAATGTGTTTAAGCGCTTCTCCGTTGCATGAACTGTTGTAAGATAAGAACCTTGGAAAGATATACGCTAGCGCCTGCATACCTAACTAGGTAGGTATGCCCTGGTAGACCCGAGAACAGTCGGCACTAACTCTGAGATATGATTTCTTCGCTCGTACCGCCTTCCTTCGCGCATCAGCTCATATTAGCCGCCTCACTGACTTGTCTGAATCAGACATGGTGGCGCACATTAGACATCCCTATAGCCAAGGCTACCGGCTACTCGAATTTTGAAAATAACGCCGAATCCGATTCTCTGAATCTTGTCTGCTATTACCTGCCAATTCAAGATATTCTGACCGAGCCTGGACTCGCTCTTGTGACTATCGACTTCGGACGCCATTTCATCAGACGCAACCGAATGATTACGACAAAACAAAGTGACCTCGCTTGGCCAGAAGAATCCATTCTATCTTCCTGCAAGACCTCCATTCCGCTTGTTGAACATTGTTTTAGATTGCAAAATCCTGAGAAGCGGCATGAGGTAGAAACGGTGATGGAAATTTAGGCGGAGCCATCAAATTACGCGAGTGAATGTCATATACATAGCTATATAGTCTGCTTGTTGTAAGAATTAGACAGTACCACTTGATTCACAACTCCAGTCGAGCATTTCGCTTATACTGCATCGCGATCTCCCCAAAACAAATCAACATGCGGTTCTACGCTTCGCAATTGTTTGCACTCAGCAGTCTGCTATGGGCATGCCCTATCAATGCTTCTCCCATCTCGGCTCGTGATGCCCCAACACCGGGACTGCCTTATGATGCAAACACCACGAAGTTCTGCACCTGGTGGGCTGATATGACTACGGTTATGGCTTGCCCTGCATTTCTAAGTGAAAACTTCGTTACTCTTGACGACTTTCTTCGTTGGGTATGCAAAAGTTCCCAGCACTAAACGTGGAGGACCGACAGGCTAACAAAGTGAATAGAATCCTTCGATCGCAGCAGACTGCAGTAATCTCACTGCTGGAAAATCGTACTGCATCGAGGCTGTCGACGAGCCTGCTCCAGCACCCGGTACAACGCCACCAGTAGCAACGACGATTGCTTCGACATCCTCGACACCACTTATGACCTCATCGGCCGCTTCAAAGACTTCTACCAAGTCGAGCACCATTGTCTCAACATCATCGGACCCAGTTGTCACCTCATCTGATATTCCACCGACTTCTACCAAGTCCAGCACCATCACCAGCACATCAACTACCAGTGCAGGTAACGGCGTCACCACTCCCCAGCCTACTCAACCAGGCATGGTCAGCAACTGTAACAAGTTCCACTGGATCGCCGCAGGTGTTAGCTGTGGCCAAGTAATCAGCTACCAAAAGATCACTCTAGCTGATTTCGTCAAGTGGAACCCTACTGTAGGGGACAGTTGCACGGGTATGTGGGCTGAAGTCAACGTGTGCGTTGGAGTCATTGGCGGAAGTAGCCCTACTACTGCCAAACCCTCGACTACAACGAGTGCAGGCAACGGCGTGCAGACACCTCAGCCTACGCAGCCTAGTATGGTTGGGAACTGCGCGAAATTTCACTTTGTGGCGAAGGGTGTTACGTGCAGTCAAATTACAAGCTACCAGAAGATCTCTATGGACGACTTTGTTAGATGGAACCCTACTGTCAAGAGCGACTGTACAGGGTTACAGGCCGATGTCAACGTCTGCGTAGGACTGATTGGGGCCACAACGACGACGATCAAACCTAGCACAACTACATCAGCTGGCAATGGCATTCAAACACCACAGCCTACACAGTCTGGAATGGTGAAGAACTGCAAGAAGTTTCACTACGTCGCCGAAGGTGTGGTTTGCAGTCAGATTACTAGTTACAACAAGATCACACTTGCAGATTTTGTTAAGTGGAATACGGGAATTGGCTCAGACTGTAGGAGTATGTGGGCCAACACGTATGTGTGCGTTGGTGTATGAGATGGTTGGTAGGACCAAACAGTGCAAGGTCAGAACAGTGGCTGTCGTTCTTCCTCATCGCGTCCCAGCTATAGTACAATTGAGCGTTGCAGCGTCGAATAGACTTAGATAGCGCAATCCAAGCTTCAAACTCTTTCACACTGCTACCCGGCGATCGCCCTTGAGAACTTAGCGCTGTATAGTCTCCCAACTGACCGCGAAGATGGCGCCGTCTCCCCTACTGGTCGTAATGAAAGACCATCCTGGAATAGCGGAAGTGGTTCGCAGATTTCAATTACTCGCAGGTGAGACATCGTAAAGAGACCCCACAACATACATCGATATACAGCTACTGTAAATCGAACAATCTCGTTGCCTCCACCTTCGCGGGTTCTATCGCGGCTCATCTGAGAACATGCCGTCATCGAAGTAGGTGCCATGGAAGTAGCGGCGCCTCGGTTCGGAATTCGCCCGGCTCTTGTGATGCCCAAACCGCCTCCTAGTCTTGCGGCGTCCACTCTTAATGTTCTCGCAGCAGTTGCTCGACTTCGTAAGGTGCGCAGAGGGGGAAGTTGCTCCTAGCGAGAGGGCTGTTTGTTGAGAGAGCGTGAACTTCTTCTGGGAGTCCTTCATGTATGATGCCGGTAGTGTGAAGCCGCCGACCAAGCCAGGAAGGCTGACGTAGGAGTCCACGAGCGTAGTAGCTATCGAGGGCGGTCTGTCACGCGACATTGCGTTGCATGACGCGGAACACGCGCGACGTTTGTTGTGGCAAGGGATCGCCATCAAGAGCGAGGGTGAAGAAGCCTTGTGGCATACTGAGCGAAGGGAGGGCTATAGTCTCCAGAATCTATGCTCACTTCCCTAGTGGTGACTTCAGTGTCACAGCGGTTATGGTCCATAAGCCCTTTATTGATCGGGGCCTGGTGACCTTGAAGGCGACTGTTGAGGTTTTCATCGGATACAGGGAATTCATCTCTCTAAAGGATAACGAACATTAATGCGATGTCGCACGCGACTTGGCATCACTCCACTAAGTAGCTCACTTGACTGCAGCTGTATGATAGCGACAATGACCCCAATAATTGTGGCAATAACTCCGACGACTGAGGCGTACTCTTTAACGTAGATATACCACGTTTTTTGAGACACGGTCACAGCGCCCTGGGTACACAAGAGTGGCGTTTCGTTGTTGAGAGGAGGGGTATTGGGTGCAGGACGTAAATCAAGGGCGCATTGCGGCAGGACATGCGTAGGTGGTGTGGAGTCGTCGTTGACTAGCTGAGATAACCTAAGGTCTCCGTCCAGCTCAGATAGTTTGAGTTCGTCATCGACCTGATCGGCTGCAATGGTGGTGGAAGAGAACATGTGCAATGCGGGGCGATGGAATCGAATCACTAGGTATGATGAATTAGCGCTGTGCTACAGCCAATCACAGTCAGGCACTTCATTCCCTCACGACGGGGATTCGCTTCACCAGGCGCACCGCTGTACCTGGCGTCGCCATCACTATTTCACAGAAAACTAGACTCTTGGGCCATATCATCATTTGGAGTCTGTTGTTCTGAAGCACATGCATCGTAGAAAGTAATTCTAGTACCCTTGGGCACATTTAGCTGCGTACATCGCGTCGCAGCGCGTGCACCAAGCTGAACCGGAGGCCCGGTATCGAAGGTTGGATTCTGAATACTACACGCACCCTCAGCAGATCATATTCGAGATGTTACTTACCGATCCGAGTTCTTCTTTGCCCGCAGTGTCCGGTAGCATGCGGTCTTATGCCGTCGCGTATCACAACTCGTTGGATGTTCCGTTACGTCATGCCTGGTAAAACTTACCAACCGCGCGATCCCGCAGCTGACATCGCCATCGCCGTCGCGATCACACACGGTTCTCAATTCGAAGGATAGAACAACTCCATGTCACGTCTTCATGTTGTTGTCGCGTTAATGCTGAGTCCTCCTGACTAATCCCCGTGCCAAACAGGCCACACAACGCGCTGACTGAAGCGACGCGATGATACAGCAATGATTGACGGATTTATTTGCCGAAAGACTGGCATCTTTATCGCCGATTTAACTCCCTATGCAGTTTTCTCTCATCTTTTCCATCGTCGCTCTCTTTCTACCATCTAATCTCTAATTTTTAATTCTCGGTCGCATCGATACTGATAGCTGGCGATGGCTTCCACGGCGGATGCAGCGACTCACGATTCCACCGACTCACCACCCGAAGAATTGTCGCGACTCGACACCTCCGTCAAACTTCACGATGCAAACCAGGTCCCTTCTTGGTACGCGCATAACGCGTTCATTACTACTGGGTACCGGCCTGTAACGAAATCGATTCCCCTCTGCATCCGCAGCTTGTCGTATCTGCATAACGAAACGGTTAACATTTACTCGCATCTCATCCCCGCCATTGTCGTCCTTGTAGCCAGCTACTCGTTCGAACGCTACTTCACCGCGCGATTCCCGCAAGCGTCTTGGGCCGATGAGCTCGTTTTCCGGATCTTCTTGACGACTTCCGTAATCTGCTTTGGTACTTCCGCTGCGTATCATACGCTGATATGCCATTTGGAGTTATATGCCAGTCTATGGGTAAGACTGGACTATGTGGCGATTATCGTTCAGATGGTGGGGAGTTTTGTGCCGGGTATTTACTTTGGGTTTTATTGCGAACCGGGGCTGCAGATGTTGTATTGGTCGATGGTATGTATACCAAGATACACGATGGCACGGCGACTTACTTGGTTCTTTATGTCGTCACACTGGGTACGTTGACGGCGACGACAGTCATCAATCCGAGCCTTCATGGTCCACGATGGAAAACACTACGCCTATCAGCTTTTGTCGCGACGGGCTTTTCGGCGTTCGCGCCAATCGCACATGGCGCTTTACTTTTCCCTTATGGTCAGCTTGATCAGCAGACTGGGCTACGATGGTATTACCTTGAGTGTGTTTTGATCATGGTGGGCGTGTGGTTCTATGCGGTAAGACTATTGCGTTCATCTCAATATCCCTCTTCTGAAACACAGCGTTCGTTAACATGGATAACAGAATCACTTCCCAGAGTCTTGCAAGCCGAAGCGACATGACATCTGGGGTGCATCGCATCAGCTGTTTCACTTCTTCATTGTTCTCAGTGCTATAGCTCACTACCGCGGCATAATAAGCGCAATGGAGTGGAACTACGTGAATCAGCGGTGTCAGTGGGCATAAAGACCCGTATGCTCGACTAGACGACTACTCCAAAGTGTGCTCTCACCTTCAACGCACATGGTATCCCGCCATAATCACCATCTTCAAACTTCGCACCTTTACCTCTTCAAGATAAAAAAAAATGACAACTTCGGCAAAAAGATAATACTTAATGGACACAGCAAGACTCGAACTTGCATTTCCCGCATCACGACCGCCCCAGCAAGCTGGTCAATGAAGCTCGGAAGCTTACTTGCCGGGCGCCCGGCAG